CCTTGATATTGGTTCAGGTATCATAATTCATTTCTCAGAAGGTTACAAGCCATTAATAGCAGGAACATATCTCGGAATGTTTTTCCAGTTGGGCCATTCCCAGGACCATGTCGATTACAGCTAGTTAATGATTACCGTGAATTTGCATCACTCCTGGAAAGAAACACACAAGATTATTGTTTCGGCAGAATACGCTCTTCTGTTTTATGGAAATGGCTTTCTATTTACGTTCTTCTTTCCTCATACTTTCTTTCCCCTTTGGAAGGTTAGGGGTAAAGACAGTGGGCTAGCAGGAGGTTAATGCCCAATCCTTTAAGCACCTCCTTTAAAGAAGATTATTGGACATCCAATTTGCAAAGGAGAAACTCCAACTCTAAAATAAGCTGTAGGTTCCAGTCTTATCATTATACTGAATAGCTGCTTGGAATCTGTTCTACTTATAACCAAGTGTATATTCCTAGGAACTGGGAAATCAAAGGCAGTTGGGCACAAAGCTAGTAGGAGTTAAATTATCTGTGTAGCAGGGGGACGGGAAGAGGACTTCAAACAGATTATTGAATTGAACTTTAATCCTACAGGGAGACTGTTGGGTAGCAGGATTTTGGCATAGGTAGCCATAGCATGGGATGTTTGCCCTTGAGTGCAGCGTTTTGAGACACTATTATAATCTGCTCTATGTGAGCTGTTTTAGTATTAGTCACTGTCAGGATGACTTTCAGAGGTTGCTGCTGTAACGTGCAAAGTCAGCATAGCCTAAAGGATAAATAAAGGCAGTTAATAGGTTCCAGTCCTAGTCATGAGTGACACAGACACGCTGCAGTATGTGGCTTTGGGGAAAGTCACTTAGCCTCCCTGCCCTTCCTCTGCCATCTTGATTCTTGAGATCGCATATCCTCCAACATTTCTCTGATGAAAATGAGGACATCCTATTCCATAATAATAATAATACTCTGCCCATCTGGGCAGCTTCCAACATGTATTGTTGTTGTTTAGTTGTTTAGTCGTGTCCGACTCTTTGTGACCCCATGGACCAGAGCACGCCAGGCACTCCTATCTTCCACTGCCTCCCGCAGTTTGGTCAGACTCATGTTTGTGGCTTTGAGAACACTGTCCAACCATCTCGTCCTCTGTCGTCCCCTTCTCCTTGTGCCTTCCATCTTTCCCAACATCAGGGTCTTTTCCAGGAGTCTTCTCTCTCATGAGGTGGCCAAAGTACTGGAGCCTCAGCTTCACGATCTGTCCTTCCAGTGACCACTCAGGGCTGATTTCCTTAAGAATGGATGCGTTTGATCTTCTTGCAGTCCATGGGACTCTCAAGAGTCTCCTCCAGCACCATAATTCAAAAGCATCAATTCTTCGGCGATCAGCCTTCTTTATGGTCCAGCTCTCACTTCTATACATGACTACTGGGAAAACCATGGCTTTAACTATACAGACCTTTGTTGGCAAGGTGATGTCTCTGCTGTTTAAGATGCTGTGTAGGTTTGCCATCGCCTTTCTCCCAAGGAGCAGGCGTCTTTTAATTTCGTGACTGCTGTCACCATCTGCAGTGATCATGGAGCCCAAGAAAGTAAAATCTCCAACATGTATAAAAACATAATAAAACATTAAGCATTAAAAAACCCCTTCCCTATACAGGGCTACCTTCAGATGTCTTCTAAAGGTTGTAACGTTACTTATCTCCTTGGCTCGGGGGTTGCGTAACTCCATACCCTCCAACACTTCTCCCAATGAAAATAGGGACGTCCTAAGGAAAAGCAGGACATTCTGGGATCAAATCAGAAACTGGGATGACTTCTGTAAACCTGGGACTGCCCCTGGAAATAAGGGATACTTGGAAGGTCTGAGATAGGCCCATTTAATGTTGATTCGGGTGGGTGGGGGTTTGGGGGAGAGAATAAAAGGGATTTGCACAAACCTTGACTTTTCTCACATCCTTTTCTTCCCTACCCAGCAAATGGCCAGGGAAGGAGAAGACCACTTTCCCCAGAGGTCTGAACTAAAATTAGACCAAGGCTGAGGGCCATAGGCTTTTAGGAGTGATTGATTGGTTTCACAATTCTATTCATGGGAAGCTGATGGCAAAACTCATTGCAATATGTGTTATCAGCATGACAAATAACACAATTGTCTTTCCACCAATGGGCTTGGAATTCTACCTGCTCAGTACATCCTTGTGATGCAGGCCAGCCTTGACTTAAGTGGTTCTGCTTTGGTCGTCTCAGCATCAGTGTCCGAGAGTCCGAGCAGTCATTGAAAAAAATGGGGCTTCACTCATGGGTCCATCGGTTGTATCTATGGTGAGGAGCCACCAGTATGTCTCAGGCAGTTGACTTTCTGGAGCTAAGTGTTTCAACTGTAACACACCGGTTTTAATAATATACGGTACTATCAGTGATATGCTGTTGCCACACAAAAATGGTTTAATGACTTCAAAGGAAATAATTAGCTGATGACTCAAATGGTAAACATGTCAAGCAAGGGAAAGGCAGTTTGAACAAGAGCTGTGGCATGTTTATTTTTTCCACTGCTTTTTATTTTATTTTTTAGTTCTGTTTAGAGAACTGAGAAGACGGTCTGCTCCTCTGATTTCCAAGGAGTTGCCTCTTCTCCCTTAAATAATCATAAAAAAACACAACTCTCTCTGTTGCTTTTAACATGATGCAAAAGGCCAGAGAAGCAGCTTTTCTCATTTGCTTACTTATATATTTATTTGCAAAAATATCTATATCACCAACATTAGGAAGAAAAGAACATGCCAGTGAACAGCATGGAATCAATAATTTTTATTCTTGACTCTATGCTGTCCATTAGTGTGATATTTTACATTCATAAAACAAGTGCAAATTAGGCCACAAATCAGTAGCTTAGTACACCAAGATAGCTGGCCAAAAGTATCTATAGATTTAAATATATTCATAAAATAAGAAAAATTATTTATTTAAAGGTTTTTTTCCTTCTCTCACTTCTCTCCTTTTTCTTCTTTATGTATTTTTATATGTTTTTCTTTTCTCAGTTATTAACAGATCTATAATATTCTAACAGATGGATTCATGATACCTGTTTCTATGACCCTGTTTGATTTGTTATCTGTGTCTCTTTTCCCTCTTCATTTATTTTCAGCTTTTTGATTAGATATGTACTTTCACAATGCGGCAATGAGATAATACTACTACATCTTTCTGATTGCTTGACGACACGGAACTCAGCAACACTGAATTTTAAAAAGCACTTTATATGTGTTATAACACTGTGACACCAGATGGTGCTGTAGAGTCCTGTCTTTTGCCAACGTGATTTTCCTTTACAAAGTTTAGAACACGTTTTCCTGAAATGCTTTTTTGATGTGTCTAGATCCAGCCACAGAAACATATTTTTGAGCAATAAAAATGAGAGAGAAATACATAGCAAACACCGGGAGCTTAGGAAGAAAATTAAGCCCAGGTGGAATCCTTCAGTATATCTCAGCATTTATTTTGACAAGCCACACTTTCCTGAAGCTTTCCCCAACATCACAGAAAATAAAAAGTGAATGTCTTCAATGTGCTTTCGCTGGCATCTGAAAGATGGTGTAAGTGCTTACTAACACCTCTCCAAAAAGTGTTTCCAAACGGCAGCGCTGCCAAGTCAGAAAGGTGGAGCTCTGAACCATCATTAATCAGGTTTTATAACTCTGTTGGTGCAGCAATTAGCCATGACATGTTGAGTCAAGTGGTCTCTGCTTTCATGTACCCGAATACTAAATCTCACCATCGAACCTTTTATTAAAATCAACTGCTCTTTTGCTGAATCCAGTCGTCTGCAGAATTGAAAGGTCATTGTGTTTGGGTTTTGTTGTTGTTATTAGTTTTCTACAGCAGGGTTAGCTGGACTTCATCGTCCCTCGCCAGGGCAGCTGATGGTCAAGGATGATGGGAGCTACAGCCGTACAACATCTGGAAGACTACAATGTCTCCACCCCTGCTTTACAGTAGCACTTACGGGAGTTGCCTTGGGGCAAAATCTGTTTTCTTTTGATCAAAGGAAAACATGATTGTGTTCAAAGAATATTTAGAAAGGAGAGTTAGCTCTAACAGCTAATTATCCTAACTGTGGGTTGGGGAACTTCTGGTTATAATTTTGTACATAATGGAACTCCTTGTTTTAATGCACCATCATGCACCATCTTGAGGTAGAATTAGGGCCTCCACAATCCTCTCATGCAAACTGCAAATAAAGAGGTATAACAAAGTAATAAACTTAAAACAAAATGGTTAAAATGGCAGATGAGCAGAATTAGATTATCGTTAAAATTGTGGGTGCTAGGGAGAAGTCCTCGCAAACATGTAACAAAGTGACGGGGAGCCTGTGGACCTCCTTACATTATTGGACTACAACTCCCATCATTCCCGACTATTGACCATGCTGCTGGGGATGATGGGAGTTGGAGTCCAACAACCTTTGGTGACCCACAGATTCTTCAACCCTGGTTATAACAGTTTACTAGCATACCAAGGTGCAAGTTTATAAAATGCCCCTCACTGTCAAAAAGACACTATGGGTTGCTGAAGGAATGTGCACGACCCTGAGTGCAGTTATAATTTAATAATTTAATAATTAAATTTGAAAGGCAAGGGAATTGCTTCACGCCCACAGTAGTACATTTCCTTGGAGTCACAGCAAACTGTTAGAAACAGCTGACTCATTAAGTAGACAATGAGTCAGAGCTGCATCTTTTAAAACTTCTCACACAAAGATAGCCTTGTGCAGAAGAAGCAAATTGGTGGTGCAGATGGGCGGGAAGTCAGTGGATGCAGGGCCTGTTAGAAAATTGGCGATGCCGCTACAATTTGCTATCAGCAGACCGTGCACCTTGCCAGTGGTTTTATGCAAACATTGGGTTCTCATGTGTATATAGAGGCATGTTATTTGCAAACAGTGGGGAGGTGTAGGCTTTGTCCTGGGATTCCAGAAGCTTGTTGCATAGTGACATGCTCTTTCCTTTTTATTGCACTGAGACAGCTAAATTCCAAGCCAAATTGGGTGCTCAGCACCTTTTGCTCTTGCTGTGCAGAGGTGTTTGCATTCATTCAGGTGATTCATTCCTTGTTCCTTTTCCCTTTTCGCCTTTTCCTAATCTAGTACTTACGTGAGATGGCAGCTGAGTTTATTTGGCCCACTTTCTCCTTATGGCTAAACTTTGCTCACATTCACTTCTATGGATTAAAGGAGGTCAGAAAGAAGAGCTGATCGGGAGAGAAAGTGCCTTGGTCCTGTGACCACATGTCTGAACCTGACACCGGGTTTGATTGGCACCACATTCTGGGCAGGGGGCTAATGTGGGATAGGAAGATAAAAGGAGGGCATGGGAAGCAGACTCAGGGAGTAGAAAGCAGGAAACACAGCTGCAGGAAATCCAGGGTGGGTTTGCCCTCTACTGGAAAAGGGACCCATAGTTTGTGGCCCATGTCTGTCATCTCTCACCATCTCCCTCTTTGCCTCCCCTAATGGCACCAAGAATAGCCCACCTGAAGCAAATTGCCGCACCTTGCCTCTTGGCAGGGCTGCCTCTGAATCCCTGCATAAGTAAAAATGTTTTAGCTCCTCTGATTCAGGTGGTGAATCAGAGCTTGAAGAGACATGAAGGAGGAGCTACAAGGAGCATCCAAAGGTCTCTTGGGTGAACTATTTTTCATCTTGGGACCATCATTTTAAATGATAGTAGAGCATACTATGTTGACAGTTCCATTATAGAACCACAGATCTACAGGAAATGATCCAAGTTAAGACCCAATGTCATTGAAGAACACCTGCTCCCACATCTCGTACCCGCCCGGGTGATAAGATAAGCCTACTGTGGGCCCTCTCTGGGTACCCTGTCATTAAAGATCAAGCAGGTGATGACTAGGGAGTAAGATATTTCAGCTGTGATGCCCCACTTATGGAATTCCCACCCCATTGAAGCATACCCATTGCCAACTCTGTTATATTTTCTGTTTTCCCTGGCTTTATAATTACTTCTTATATACCTTTATATACCTGTGGATTTATTATATAATTTGCCTTGTTGTTGTTGTATATAGAGATTTTTGTATTCCTGTTAGGTTTTCCTTGTTGCTTTTTATCGTTTTAAATTTGCTTTGTAATCTGTCCTGGGAGAGAGATCATGAATGGGTGGCACAGAAGTGTTCTGGATAAATAAAAAGTCAACGAGATGACATACTCTGGAACTCTTCATTCCCATGGCTAGGAGAAAGCTCCGAGTCTTAACTGTTTAAACAAGACACACAATCAGATAATACCCCAAGATAGAGAGAGAGAGAGAGAGAGAGAGAGAGAGAGAATCTGCATTGATATTGGTGTGTTTGTTGTGTTCTTCATAGAACCATTTCAGCAGGTTTATTCCAAAGGCTGATGTACACAGTCTGAATGGATCAGGAGGCTGGGAAAAGGTGAAGTTGGATTAGATCCAACTTCAGCTAAAGAAAAGAAAAGAAGGAGACACTTGCGTCATTGGTCTTCAGGACTTATTCTTCAAACAATAACTGGCAAGTCAAGGGATGGAGGGGAAAAATACTTCAGGACTGCAGCATACTGGCTTCATAACGCCAATCTGATGACTGCCTATATACAGGTACATTGTTGGCACCTGTTGTTTTTTTTCTTAAAGAGAGGTAGATGTCAGATAGGACACAGTTCTTAACACACTGGTAAACAGCAGGCATCTTAATCAGGGATTGCTTTGCAGCAGAAGTACCCTCCGACTAAGGCTTGTTTTACAAAGACAAACACGTCACTCGATTCTAGAGCAAAGATGGAGAGTATATGTATGTCAGGAGTCTTGCTGGATGAGACCAGGGCTATTTTTCTTGAAAAGGAGGTCCCAGAACTCACCATGAAACCTCCCTCATTCTCTTAGAATGGCAATGGCACCCACCTGAGAAGGGCCAGAATTGAGTTCCAGCAAGTTCAGGGAGAGAAAAAGGCCTGGATCAGACCAAAGGTCCATCTATTACAGTGTTTGTAATGATAAATCATCAGTATAGATGGGACTTGGAAAAACCTGAAGGAGAGCCTGGCCACATTCTGGCCACAAACATTTGTCACCACCCTGCTTCTCTCATGCTCATTTTCTGCAGGAAGACACACATGGAGAGGGGCTGAGATTCAGATGTAAAGGTCTTAACAGGATGGCAGACTCTGACTTCCACCATCTTCTTTCTCCCGTAAGGAGCCAGAAGGAAGGGCAGGGCTTTTCTTTTTTCAGCCAGAACTCACTGGAACTCAGTTCTGGCCCCTCTCAAGTGGGCACCTGAAATATACTCGGAGTCAATAGTGGATTTCATGCTCTTTATTCGGCTCATAGTGGTGAGGAGGAATGAATGTTTCCCCAAAATATCTGCTTTATATACATTATTTACACAATGGGCTGCACATGATTGGCTAATTCCAGGATTCTCCTGTGGGCCAATCAGGCTGTGGATTCACTTCCACCTGGAGCTGGATTGGGTGGCTCCTGCAGACCAATCAGACTGCTGCATTTTGGATCCTATTCAACTCAGTACATAACAGCACCACTGCCATTATAAGAGAAAAAGGGAGCTGTTCATGGTGAGTTCTGGCACCTCTTTTTCTAGAAAAATAGTGTTGGGGAGGGGACTTTGCATATTAAGATTGTTCCTCATCACACTGATTTTAAAAATACGCTTATAAGGCATAATTATTATGGAGAAAAACTGCTGACATCACAAGTTTAGGAAGCTGCAAAGATGCCTTTCAGTCACTGGGAATCTGCCACAGCTGGATTCAGATGCCTTTGGAAGAAACTTGGCCATTGCTCTTTCAGGAATAGTTGTAATGTAGTGAAACCAATTTGTCTGCAGAGCCAGGAGCTCATAAATTCAGCTCGTCCAGCCTATTTGCAACTACAGATTAGAATTTTCTAGTTGTGATACGAGGACAGTTCACACAGGAACTGATTATTACCTCTTGAAAGAAGTCGCAGCTTTTTGCAGCCTGCGTTAGCCTATTAGAAAGCGAGTGAGCCAAAGGGAGATCTTTCTTCCCTGTTCACAGGATGTCAGCACTGTATTATGTTCATGGCAAGAAAAACACTCTTGAGGAAAAGCAGATATCAAGGGCTTTTCAATGCATGTGCATCCATAAACTTTTCAGATTAGAAGGAAGAAACAGTGGTGGGTTGGCCTTATGGGTGTCCCAGGGGGCAGCTGCCCCAACTAAATCAGTAAAAAGAAATAAAAAGAAATAAAAATCTGAAGTTCTGCCCCCCACAACAAAAGCCTGCTCCCCCCCCAAAAAAAATCCTGGCTACGCCCATGGTTGGTCCTGATTTTTTTTTTAATTCATACTTTCTTTCAGGTAATAAACATGAGATAATGACTTCATCAGAGGTTACACAGTTCTAACCTCCAGAATTTGAGGATGCTGAAATTGTACATACAAAAATGAAACAATAATGTATTTTATTTTTTAAAAACCCAAGTATAGTATAGCGCTCTCTCTCCCCCCCTCTCTCTCAATTAATGATAAGTACACAATGGGTCAACCTATGTAGAACATCTTTAGCTTACCACAAAGTAGCACCATCCTTTAAGACTTTTTTTCTTTGTTATCAATGTAACACGATGAGGTAACAATAGCCACATAGCAGGGAGAGGGGCCTAAATTTTACACACTGAATCAAATCAACCAATTACTCCTTTGAGTACAGGCTTCTAAGACGAATAGGCTTTGGTTTAAGCAATGTAACTACATGCCAACTATGCCAGAAATGGATACAGTATTTCTTTGTAAACAAGCCACTGTGTTTTCCATATCTCAGGTCAATTCCAGCAACCAGTCCCACAGTGACATCCCTGCAAAAATGTTCTGTAGGCATGGCACAGGGAAGAGGACATGAACCTAGGGATGGAAGTTCTGGTTCCTTGGCAGATTTTGGAGATCCTTGGTCAAGATCCTTAATCTAGAAGAGGCGAGGATTGAAAAGTGAGAATTCTCTCATGCTGCCTCAGAATCTATTGGGTGCTCCATGGAAGAGTGTGGTTGTAGAGCAATTAAGGAGCAATTCCTTTGGCTCCTTCCTCTTGAGCCAGCTGTGCCCTGGCTTTAAAGTACAGAGAATGTCCCTCTTGGCAATCATTAAGTATCCCTAAGAAGGGAAACAAACATTTAATAACTAGTTGTTGCACATGCCATGTCTTGTTCTTGAGGAGCACTATAAACACCCTAGCAGTGGTCAGGCTGATGAGTCATCCACACTAGAGAGCCAATGTGGTGTAGTGGTTAAGAGCGGTAGACTCGTAATCTGGTGAACCGGGTTCACTTCCCCACTCCTCCACATGCAGCTGCTGGGTGACCTTGGGCTAGTCACACTTCTCTGAAGTCTCTCAGCCCCACTCACCTCACAGAGTGTTTGTTGTGGGGGAGGAAGGGAAAGGAGAATGTTAGCCGCTTTGAGACTCCTTAGGGTAGTGATAAAGCGGGATATCAAATCCAAACTCTTCTTCTGACCATAAGAAGTGCTTGAAAAATTTACAAGAGCAGGATCAATATACTTCCCACCCGACAGATTCACTTGACCCACTATTAGGCTGCTGGACCCACTACTTGACCCGCTACTAGACTGGACTGACTAGATTATATCCTTCTAGGGTTTCACTTGCCAGATAGGTTACTATTTTTATATACATGCAATATTGAAATGCATTTGCGAGTCATTTAGAGGTTTGTAGTTTGCTTGACGCTGGGAGAGCTCATTGTTCATTTTCTGAAAAGGAATTATTTGTACTTCAATTAGTAAAACATACTGAATTCATTAGCCGTACTGGCCATACTCCAGAGAAGCAGACACCCCGGATCTCGGCGTGCAACTATTATTTTTCTTTTTTTTAATCACAGCAGGTTCTCCTCTTCTTCTGCATACTGCATGCCACTAGTTAAACTCATTCCCCCATTTTTACAAGCCCCAACAGAATACATGCAATGTCAGGAATCTTTTGGTTGCTCTGTGTGTTGCTCTGTGTGTTGACACAGAACCAGGAGAGAAATGTGATCTACTTCAACTTTTACCTTATTCGTGCTTCCCCAAACCATACGGGCACCAAAGCGCCACATTTTTATTTATTTATTTTTTGAAATTCTCACTTCAAATTTTGCAATGCAGTTCTGTAACCCAAAACTGCATTGCAAACTTTGAAGGGAGAATTTCAAAAAAATTGCAGCACTTTGGTGCTCGTATGCTTTGGGGAAGCACAAATTAGGTAAAAGGTGAAGTAAACCAAATTTCTCCATATATATATATATATATATATATATATATATATATATATATTATATAACAATTGTACTGGGAGAAATGAACACTAAAATACTGGCGACTTTTCACCTGTACTAAAAAATAAATAAAGTGCAGACTGTTGTAAAAATGTGGCAAACTGAGCTGAAGACTGGGAAAACAGGAGACCCAAAGTAACAGATTAGTCCAGGGGTCAGCAAACCTTTTCAGCAGGGGGCCGGTCCACTGTCCCTCAGACCTTGGGGGTGGGGCGGACTATATTTTGGAGAGGGGAGGAAATGAATGAATTCCTATGCCCCACACATAACCCAGAGATGCATTTTAAATAAAAGCACACATTCTACTCATGTAAAAACACACTGATTTCCAGACCATCCGCAGGCTGGATTTAGAAGGCGATTGGGCTGGATCCGGCCCCCGGGCCTTAGTTTGCCTACCCATGGATTAGTCCATCCCTGGTGGCGAGCCGTCAGAACGTTTGCTTATAACATTGTCCCCATTCACTCATGCAAGCCATTGGGCCCTCCTAGACAGCAAAAGTTATAAACGGCTTACCGTCTGAGCCGAGACCTTGTCTGAGCAACAAAGTCTTTCTAGTTATGTTGTGTTTCTGTCCCCATTTACACTATACGTTTAAAGTAGTATCACACTACTTAGAATAGTTCTGGCTTCCCCCAAAGAATCCTGCTAACTGTAGTTTGCTAGGGGTGGTGTGAACTAAGGGTTATTAGGAGTTAGGGACGCGGGTGGCGCTGTGGTCTAAACCACTGAGCCTCTTGGGCTTGCTGATCAGAAGGTTGGTGGTTTGAATCCCCATGATGGGGTGAGCTCCTGTTGCTCTGTCCCAGTTCCTGCCAACCTAGCAGTTCAAAAGCATGCCAGTGACAGGAAGGTAAATGGCAGGAAGGTAAATGGCATTTCCATGTGCTCTGGTTTCCATCACGGTGTTTCATTGCTTCAGAAGTAGTTTAGTCATGCTGGCCACATGACCTGGAAAGCTGTCTGTGGACAAACACCTGCTCCCTTGGCCTGAAAGCGAGATAAGCACTACAACCCTATAGTCAGCTTTGACTGGACCTAACTGTCCAGGGGTCCTTTACCTGTTAGGAGTTCCTTGGGAAGAGGCACTGACTGCTAAACCACTCTGGGAATGTCTCTCTGTGAGGGGAATAGGGTTCTCCTAACAACTCTCAAGGGACACAGGTGGTGCTGTAGCTTAAACCACAGAACCTAGGACTTGCCGATCAGAAGGTCGGCGGTTCAAATCCCCGCCACGGGGTGAGCTCCTGTTGCTCGGTCCCTGCTCCTGCCAACCTAGCAGTTCGAAAGCACGTCAAAGTGCAAGTAGATAAACAGGTACCACTCCAGCAGGAAGGTAAACGGCGTTTCCGTGCGCTGCTCTGGTTCACCAGAAGCGGTTTAGTCATGCTGGCCACATGACCTGGAAGCTGCATGCCGGCTCCCTCGGCCCATAAAGCGAGATGAGCGCCGCAACCCCAGAGTCGGCCACGACTGGACCTAATGGTCAGGGGTCCTTTAACAACTCTCAGCGCCCTTAACAAGCTACAGGCATCATGAATGTTGAAATTGTTATGATACTGCTTAAAATGCACAGTACAGATGATGCCTCTGTGTATCTCTTGGCTCTTCATCAACCACCAACACACATTGATACTGTTGCCTAGATAGATTTTCTGTAAATAAAGTATATCTATGGCTTTTGTTTAAGAATTTGTTAGTTTCCAAAACAGCCAATTCAAGCTAAGAACAAAGAGTCTGGTAGCACTTTACAAGTGAACAGATTTTGTGTGAGTGTGTGCAGTATTAGATTTAATGGATGGGGATTGTTTCAATATTCCAAATGTAGGCCAATCAGGTTGCGGAGTCACTTCATTCAGGAGCCTGATTAGCTGCTCCTGCAGGCCAATCAGGTTGCTGATTCACTTCCACCTGGAGCTGGATTGGGTGGCTCCTGCAGACCGATCAGACTACTGCATTCTGGATCCTATTGTTCTAGGATTCAGCTCAGTACATAACAAATAGGTTGCCCAAAGCCAGGACCCAACCATGCAGGGTGTATTGCCACCCAAAGTGGCTGCAGTACAACACAGATGTAGTAATTATCAAGTTCATTCCAGTGGATTAAGAAGGTTTCGGGCTAAATGTATGAGCTGAAGACCTGCTAGGCAGGGTGAGGTCACCACCCCAGGCAGCAGATTTGGGGTGTCACAAAAGGGCAACACACTGTTAGTTATTGATAATTATTGTACTTCTGCTACCAGGGAGGGGGAGAGAGGATTGTGGGAGTTTGTGTCTCAGTTGCTGCAATAACGTGGAGAGTCTTAAGAACCTATTTGGGGTTTCCATTTGCTGCTCCACCTCAGACAGAGCTTTCTCTCTTACCCCTAGTTACCTGGGATCTCTCTGTTCTCTGAAAGTGCTAGAACTACAACGTGCAGGAGACACACTCCAAGGATTAATGGGGTGTTTTGCCATAACACCCACCCATTTCTATACATTTCCCATCCAAAGCCATAAGAATTCTCTCTCACGGTGTTGATATTTATGGTTCGTTTTGCGGTTGTTGCTAGCTCTTGGGATTCTTAAAATATCTATGGCTGCCCCCTCAGTCAGAATGATTGCCCTCATTGAATTTGCCTGGTTTTCTTCTTCTAAATAATAGCCATGGGGCCAGGTTCAGTGGGGTGCAAGGGTACCAACTTGAATAAAATATAAGCCCCACCCCACATAATCAACCACACATACCCCATTTGAATGGCATTGCCCATCAACTTTGGGGGGCAGTCACCACAAATATTTTAGGGGGGGTGAAAAGACCTCAGCCTCTAGAGGTTAGCTGCTAGGGTGGAGTGTATGTGTTAGACAAAGATCTTCATTGTTGCCAAGTTGTTGTGGACACTGTCAGATATTTAACTTGGGACTTATCATAAGAAATCAGTTATATTATGATGGTAGTGTTGGTTTGGAAGTCCCAGGTGTCAGACGTAAGCAGCATTTATTCTCTAACGGAATCTGATCATGTACCTCAAAGTCCATGGCGGGTACTAGATTGGGCAAATGGGTTTCTGGGCTTGCTTCATTTTCCTCAGTGGTTGCACATATGCATGTTGTAACAGTTGTCTAAGGATGTGCTTGGCTAGCAATTGCAGAATACTCTGCCTATTATCTCAGGACCAAAGATCCCTCAGCGAAACCTTTCATCCTCTGGCTGTTGACTGGGGAAATCAGTTGTCTCAAACACCACTCGCCACACCTCTAAATGAAAGCAATTGTCTTCCTGACAGAAGTGACACAATAGTCTCTTGCCAGCTAAATAGTTCTCATATTTCCCCTGCAAACAGAGAAACTATGGAAAGGCTGCCAGCAAAATGGCTGGGGATCTTCTGAAAGTGAGGGGACGGCAAACACGCACAAACGAGGCCTATTATTGTGTGGGTGAAGTAGAGAAAAAGAATTCCAAATCCTCACAGCTGAAGGGCCTTTGGATGCTCAGGGTGAAATGAAGCACACATTTGTTTTCATGTCCCCACCCAACTGTCTCTATGTCTATCGTTGTAGATTGGGGTGGACGACACCCCTAAACCCTATAAATCAATAATACGAACTGCAGAGGAATTCCTGAGCCAGCCTATGCTTTGGTTGTTATAACCAAATGTTCATAGGCCTTAAGCCTCATTTCTGCCCTGATCTGGCTTTTCAGAAAGCACTAGCTACTTTAATCTGCTTAACTGCAAGTCTTAGAAATATTAAAAGTGTCGCAAATGAATTCAAATAAGTATCTAGAAAGGTTCCCATTGCCAGCAGTTTTATGGAGCGCTGACATAAAACCCAGAAGAGGATTATCAAACTTTTGCCCTTAGCAGTGAACATGCAGAAGAAGCCAGAATGACTCAGGCAAAACTGTGACACTCATTCCCCCTTATTAAAAAATAAATAAATCAATTTGTTCTCTTTGTGGAGTCGACCGCTCTGTAGACTAGCTTGAGATATTTTGTTGCATAGAGTGCAGCATCAAGGCAGGGGTTTTCAACCAGTGTGCCGTGGCACCCTGGGGTGCCTTGAATGCTGGTCAGGGGTGCCGTGGGCAACACTGGCCTCTGTCCCTCCTTCCTTTCCTCCCTCCTCTGATGCCCTCTTGCACCTCTGCCTCCCAAAGACTTGCACAGCTGTTTGTTGCAGCAGCCCTGGCTACAAGCTCCCCAGGCAAATGGTGCCTCTGGGGCTGGCCAGGGAGTGCTGGTTGCCAGGAGCTGAGGCAGCCTCAGAGTAAGCAAGCGGGTGAGGGAGCCCAGCCAGCTAGTCCACCAGCCCTTGGGTTGGGAATGGACAGACAAGTGGGAGGCAGGCATTGCACTGGCCTTTATTGTGCTTGCTGTGTCAAAGGCCTGCCTGGGAGCTGAGTGCCCAGGGCTGAAAGGGAGCCTTTTCACCATGCAGGCCTGGCAGCCCCCGCTGCTGCCACTGCTGCCTCCCAAGGTAAGGTGTTGGCCACACGTTCACCTTTGACCATTCTCCGTTGGACCACTAAGGCTGGAGGCATCCTCTTTCCAGGTGTGTGAGGAGGTACCTCACTTTGGGATGGGGGGGGCAGCTCAGAGACTCGAGAAGCAGCACAGGCTGCCCAGAGGACTCCCAAGGAGAGGGGAGAGAAGGCTGAGATAGCACTGCACAAGCGAGGGTGTTCAAAAAAGGGGCTGCCAGCTCTGCAGGCAAAGGGAGACATAACTGGACTCCTGAGCCCCACAGGGGTGCCACAAAAAGAATGTAGTTGGTCAAGGGAGCCGTGCACCCGAAAAGGTTGAAAATTTCAGATATTTCAGGGGCCCTGACCCCCCCCCCTCGCATTTTGGAAACCTTTGGAAATCTAAGAAACTGTCATAGCCACCACAAAATACAGTACAGTGGTACCTCAGGTTGAGTATTTAATTTGTTCCGGAGGTCCGTTCTTAACCTGAAACTGTTCTTAACCTGAAGCACCACTTTAGCTAATGGGGCCTCCTGCTGCTACTGCGCCGCCAGAGCACAATTTCTGTTCTCACCCTGAAGCAAAGTTCTTAACCTGAGGTACTATTTCTGGGTTAGCGGAGTCTGTAACCTGAAGCGTATGTAACCTGAGGTACCACTGTACTCATTTCATAGATGAAAAACTAACAATGCTCAGGACCTCCCCCCCCCCACACAAAGCAGGCAAAACAAGGAAGAACTCCACCTCAAAGTCCACCTCTGTTTGATGTTTTAATTTGCCCAGAGTGACTATGGCAACCCAGTCAGATGCGTGACATAACAACATCAACAACAACCCCAAAGAAGCAATCCTGAAGCAAAGAACCCCCACAAGTTTATTTATTTCATAATATTTCTACACTGCTTGATTGTAATGTGGGGTAGGGTTGGGGAGACAAAAAAAAACAAAACAAAATCGCGCGGGGGGGGGGGGGAATTACAATCGTTTAAAACAAGTGTTCCCAAGCTTGGGTCTCCAGCTGAAGGTCTCCCCATTCATGCTTCAATGGCGGCAGGTCTACTCTGGGTTACTGTTGTCTTCCGAAGTTTTACAGCCAAGTTTCAGCCATCTACACCCCAGTCACACCTATGAAACTCAAGTCACACGGTTACTGTTGCAATGTCACCATCACGTTTTTCACTTGATGTTATCTTCTGGCCGGCCCTTTCGGAGACTCCCATGGAAAGTACTGTACTTCGAATCAGTCCATAAGCAACACACCCATCCCAGTTTTGTTTGATTCAGGTGACTGACTAAGCCCGGGTGCGGAAGACGGAGTCAAATCACCCAGGGAAAAGTACAGCACAGAAAGGTAGGCGTTGGATAGCTCAGCTGGTAGAACATGAGACTCTTAACTCTCAGGATTCCAGGTTCGAGCCCCACATTGGGCAAAAAAGATGTCTGCATTGCAGGGGCTTGGAATAGATGAACCTCGTGGTCCTTTCCAACTCAACCGGGAGAGCGTGAGACTTAATCACAGGGTCGTGGGTTCGAGGCTCAAATGAGTCAAAAAAAGATTTCTGAATTGCAGCGGTTTGGACTAGGTGACCCTCGCGGTCCCTTCCAACGCTGCAATTCTATGATCCCTCCGGCCACTACAAGCACCCTTAGCCCAGCCCCAGGGCTTTGTTTATTTTTCAAGCGACACCGCCAGCAGGAGGAGATGAGCGCGCCTCTCGCCTCGGGTCCCCATCACGTGGGCCGCTGCCGGAGCAGTAGTCAAACTCTCCTCCCGACAGCTGCGGTATGAGGAAGTCGGGGAGAGGCGCGCTCGCCTCGCTGTTCTCCTGATCCCGAGAGCAGCGAGGGCGGAGAAGACGAGGACGTGAGTACCGCGCTGTCCTTGGAGTGCGGGTGTGTGAGGAGGGATTTGGCAGGGTCCCTTCCTTCCTCCTGATCGCGGTGGAGGCGCCCGGGGGAGGGGACCTTCCTTGGCAGCCGTGGCTTCCCCTCCCCTGGGTTAGGACACCGCGCCTTCTTAAGTGCCCTCTTCCCCCTTGTCACCACCGGGACGCTGGAGGAGGAGGAGCCGGATCCTGCCTCCCAACACTGCCTGCAGTCCGCTCCCCAGGGAAAGTGGGGTGGTGGGGGGAGAGACAGCGGGAGAGAGAGGAACACCCTGATTGATGATATAAACTCTCCGGTTTCCGTGCTCTTCGCGTCCGATCAGGCTCGGGCGGGCCTGCTTTCGCCTCTGCCGGTAATGCCGCTTCATTCCTCGGCTGCTTGCTAGTCCCGGGCGCGGCGGGCGCAGCAACTCTCGGGTGGCGTCGTGGGGAAGTTTGGGGCGGCTTCGCTGGCGGGCGAAGGGCGGCTGCAGAATTTCGCAGCGGCCGGGAGCTACCAAACGCAGAGTCAGTTTCCCTCCTTCCTGCCTCCTCCCCCGGCGGCTTTGCTTGTTGCTACTAGGTTGCAACTGGAGAGGCGGAGGCACGCTTTCAAGATTTTTTTGTTTTATAGCCCTGGGAGTCGAGGGGGAGGAGTAAATGCTGGGTCGTCTTGGTCATGCAGCCGGGGACGGGGTTGCTGCTGGGTGCCTGTGGCCAGATGTGCTGCTGGTGGGCAGCTGTGGGGTGGCCCCCTCGATTCCAGTGGCTCCCAGAGGAGCGGATGCGCTAGATCGGGGGCGCCCAGCGATTCTGCCGCCGCCACCTCCTCCTCCTCCTCCTGCGCAACTTTTGCACAAGTCGCCCATAGCCACCGACTTGGCGCGTAATTGCGCACGGCTCCTGCTGGTGGTGGTGGTGCTGCTGCTTCCCGCAGCTCGACTCGATCGCGCGCAAAAACGAGCTCTCCTCCGGACCTTTTCTTTCTTTCCTACTTGCTGTAGGTTGGAGGCGTTCTTCAGCAGCCGGGTGAGGGCGGGCGAGCGAGTCACCGAGAGCGAGAAGCGGCTAAGGGCTCCCGATGGAGGAGGAAGAGGTGGCTTCGGTGCGCGACGAGTGGCAAGGGGTCGCTCAAAGGAGAAAGGCCTGGGCCAAAAGCAGAGACTCTTGGCAAGCGTCGGAGGCGGAGCGGCTCTCTCCAGAGGCAGCTGAGCCGGCGCCGGAGCAGGAGATCGCCGGGGGGAAATTGCCTTTGGCTGCCGAAGGAGGTTTGTCTTATTAGCCTCATGGTTTTCTCTCTCTTTGGCTACCCAAGAGACACTCGGAGGAGTCATGTGGCACCTGAAAGGTTAACCGATTGATTGTCGCATCAGCATCTGTGGGCTAGAGGCTGTTGCTTGGGTGTCTGATGACGACCACAAAAACTGATGCCAAGATAGAGAAATGCCTTTCAGGTTTCACAGGAATCTTATTTTGATGAGCAAATAACTGTTGGGGGGTGGAACTGAACTTTATGGCTGCTATCCTAAACTGCCATACCGAGCTCTGAAGCTCTTTCTTCCTACTGCAATATCACACTTTCTTTTCACTAGAAAGAAAATCCTAATGAGCTCACCATGCTGTTCTATGCATGTTTACTGGCTGAGTTGAATGCAATATTATAACTTTTAGGCAGCAATCCTAATCTCGTTTACCAGCTCTGTTGAATTTGGTAGGACGTGCTTCTGAGTAGGCTTGTAAATTTAGTAAAAAAAATATAAAAATTGTTTTTAGGATTAGCCTGCAAAATTCCCAATTGTAGCCTTGTTGTTCATACTTTTGCTTTGTCCTTGAACGTTTTAAAGAAAATGTTGGGAACTTGGCTTCCCTTCTAGAAACTGTTGATATTGTGCCTTAGCTGGTCTACATATCATTTAGTTCAGTGGGATTTGTGAAAGCCAGCAGGAAAGATGCTCCGGCAAATGGCTACTTTTATCATTCATCAATGATAACTTCTTGCTTCTCCCCATTTCCCTTTTGTTTCTCTCTGCCCTTTCCCACCTCTCCCCATTCAGCAGGCTCTATTCCAAATGAAAAGATTGCAATATGGCTTAAAGATTGTAGGTAAGTACTTCTTGTACAGAATGATGCAGTTGTTCAATATATCTGCTCCATCCTGAATCTTGTAAGATATCTAGAACCTCTCTGGCCCTGAGGCTTTTTAGAAATACCAATTGCAAATCGGTTTCCCCTTAGCTTCTTTTTGCCTCCCAAAATGTGTCTTAGTAGTAAATCACATGGATTGCAATGGATTTTCTCCGTGTTTCGACCATAATCCAACACATCTTTTAATCCTTTGCATGCTTTCTTTGGGCTTCCTTCTGAGTAAATTTGCATAGAATTAGACAAAAGTTGGGCATGCATTTAAACTCACTGATCTATAAGGAAATTCAAGCCCTCTTTATTTTGTGCTGGAATAGGCTGTGGCCAGAATATTTTGTGTGCGAGAGACAGAGATGAATGGAAAACTGCTCTTTCGGCTAAAGTTTATTATGTTGTTCAGGAAATAGCAGCTGTTCTTTGGGACGGCAGGTCCTGTTGTTGTAAAGACACAACCCATAGTGCATAGACCGGGGTGTTGTCTGAAAATATAACTGCATACCAGAAACAAAGGGAAAGTTCCATGCTGACTCGGCTTTGTGATTTCAGCTGCGATCTTAAATGCATTTAGGATGTACCGGGAAGTAAGCCCCATTGCAACTGGTTGGATTTCCTCCCATGTTTGTAAACAAGTTTTAAATTAACTGCTGCTGCAACTGCAAACCTGCTTTAGCCTGAAGTCTTATTATTTATTAGAGAGGAGTGTTGAAACCAATTCAGCTTCTGGATCAGGGTTTCTCACATAGTGGGCTATGGGCGACTTTCTCCTCGTTGTCTTGCATTGCCTCCTAGCTGATCTCGTAGGCTTTTGGTTGGATTGATGCCAGTTTGAGCAATGCCTTGCATGCTGAGTAAAGGTAGCCAGAGGACTCAGAGAAATTGGGTGTGCATGTGTTTGGAATGAAGTAAGAAAGGAGATTCCGACTCAACATCAGGAAGAACTTTCTGACAGTAGGAGCTGTTTGACAGTGGAACGGTCTCCCTCGGGAGGTTGTGGACTCTCCTTGGAGGTTTTTAAGCAGAGGTTGGATGGTCATTTGTCATGGCTGCTTTAGCTGAGATTCTTGCATTGCAGGGGGTTGGACTAGATGCTCCTTGGGGTCCCTTCCAACGCTACAATTCTATGATTCTAAGGCATGGGTCACCAACCTAAGGCCTGGGGGCCGGATGCGGCTCAATCGCCTTCTCAATCTGGCCCATGGACGTCCGGGAATCTGCATGTTTTTACATGAGTAGAATGTGTGCTTTTATTTAAAATGCATCTCTGGGTTGTTTGTGGGAGATAGGAATTTGTTCATTTCCCCCCCAAAATATAGTCCAGCCTACCACATGGTCTGAGGGATGGTGGACCGGCCCACGGCTGAAAAAGGTTGCTGACCCCTCTTCTAAGGGCCAAATGTAGCATTGAAGGGAAATGGAAAGTGAGATCAATACTAGTATTTAATAGTAATAATAATAATCAAATAAACAAAATGGGAATAGAAAATAGAGAGATAAGAGAGGAATGCTGTCACTGGAGGAAGAAGGGAATGTAACAGGACCAGGGAGGAGGGATAAAAGAAATTGGCAGTTTTGGGGTATGGGATAAGGTATAAGAAGAATGTGAAAGGAAACTGGGAAAAGAAGTGACAGGAAATGGGTAAAAATACTCTTAAGAGGCAAGTGGGAGGGGGAGAAAAGGAAAATAGAAAAGAAGAAGCCTCTTAATCAGCAAATTTTGCCTAAAGTAGAGAAGCCAACTCACAATTCCTCCAGAGCAAATGGCTGTAACTTACGTTGAAGAAAGCTGAGCTGTGGAACTCCTTGCCACAAGCAAACTGCTGTGTCAAAGAATGTAGCAATTTCCAAAGATAGATTAGATATCAGTAGAACATGATGCCTGTATTTGCCAGCTGGTTATGCCAAACTCTGCCTCCACCCACCTCTATTTTGTGACTGGCTCTGCCACTGTCCCACCATTTTGTGTTTGGTGGGCCTCGTGAGTTTTCAGCTGTCTTAAGTGAGCTGGGCCCTGGGGCTAGAAAGTTTGAGAACCCTTGTTCTAGATAAATGTGTTTTACATAACACAGTGTACCATCTGGAGAGATTTACAACACTTCATTCAGTTTTCCTGAGAGGTGAATTTAAATTAGAATAATGTATAGGTCACTTAACACTGCTTCACTCTCAGTTGCACTTCCTTAATGTAATTTACCTCACAGGGTTGTTGGCAGGATATAAATGGACACCCATTTATGGTAACCAAAGGGTCCATAGAAGAAGGATGGGGTGTAAGTGACTTTTATAATACCCCTTTTCTCTAGCTATGTACTTCATAAAATTTTGGAAACCTATGATTTTTTTGTTTTGTTTTTAAGGTAAAATTAAAAACGAGGATTTTCAAAACATGATCATAGCAGATCAAGATAAGCCACAAGAAGTGTAGCAATTCTTTTGTGTAGGGCATTATGGTTTTGTTTTTTTTGACAGTTAATTTGTAACATAATTTGTAACATAAACATACTTTTGCTACTTCTGTGGGTCCTATCCAACTTGTATCATACTCCAAATTGACCATTGAAATGAATGGACTTACATAACTTAAATGCTTTAATGTTAGTGGATCTACTGAGCATGATGGTGGAGATCAATCGGTCTTCCAAATGACACACAGTCCATTTTCTGCCTTTCCTATTTTCCTTCTGTGTGGCTTGCTGTGATAAAGACTTAAAGCAGAGCTGTGGCGTAGACACTCCCTCCCATATACAGTGTATCAAGTTTGAGGTTGTGATCCAGAAACTGTAGCACAGAAAAGCAACGATTGGGTTTCCCTATATTTTTTTCGTTTTGTTGCCCTCCAGGTGTTGTTGAACGACAGTTCCCATCATCCCTGAACACTGGCCACGCCAACTGGGTGCTGGGGTTCAATAGCACCCCATAGATCCCATTCCCTGTCCTTAAGGATCTCCTCCTTTATTGGACGTGATCAGCACTCCAAACATTTTTAACACCTATGTGAACTGAAGTTACTTTTATTATAAGCCAGGGGTCCAAAGAACCATGGTTCTGCAATCTTAGGGCAGGCTTGCAATGGCAGCTCCTTGTACAAGATAGCAAACACTGTTTGAATGGAAGGAACGTTCAAATGCAGATTGTAGTATAATGTGAGGGTTTGCTGCTTGGTGAAAATCATTCTTAAAATCTCACCAGGGAATGCTGAGTGAAGCCTTTGGATGAACCAGCTGAATCAGCTGTCTTGGATACTGGTTATTATGGTTATGGCTGTTTGCAGTGTTCGGATGTAGAGGGTATTCTGAGCAGTTAGCTTACTGTTTTCTTTTTAGGTGTATCAGCAGGTGAGCCCTGCCACTGCCATTATTTAATTCTCCTCTGGGCTGTAGTGTGGATGCTGACTGCTATTCACCCTGTCCCAAAACTGCAGGGAAATGAATGATGTCTCTCAGCCTGCCCCGCCCCAATGTTCTGCCTCATCCTTTTGGCTTAGATGTGATTTGGGGGTTTGAGCTATGGCCATCAAAAATTGCTCATGGTTTCCCTCTGTGGTGTTTAGTCTGGAACCATTTCTCTAAAGCGAGACAAGGGATTGATACGCTGCGTTCTCCAGTCTGAAGAGGGAATCTGAAACTCTTTGAGGAGGCACCAGGAAGGTAGAGTCAAACCTAGAAGCCTTGCAAAACTAGAAATTCCACTATTGTTTCTCCTTCAAATTCAGAATTGGCCAACCTTGTTCTTGTAAGGTGTGGAAAAGGCGACTGGAGAAAAGTTTTTCAGCACTCTCTTAGAATGCTGTTATTTATTGAATTTTATTATTCATTGGAGTTGTACCCCACCCTTCCTCCTCAAGGAGCCCAGGGCAGCAAACATAACACAATTTAAAACCAAAGGAAGCCAAAACATTGTAGAACAGTTAACATATCCTAAAAGCAGCTACTGTCAAAAACATCTAACATCAATTATAGTTTAAAACAGATAAATGCTCCTAGTTGTTTTCCCCCTTACTGCTTTTCTTCATTTCAGGGGAGAGAGTTTGCCATTGTGAAAACAGCTGGGAATAAGAAATCCTAGCTGATCTGCTACAAATCACCCAGAGATCTGCGAATAGATCCAAAGTTGCTGACGATCAAACAATTTCTTTGGCAACAGAGAGGTCTGGGATTAACAAAGCCTTAATGTTTGCAGTGTTGGGACACGGGTGGCGCTGTGGGTTAAACCACAGAGCCTAGGACTTGCTGATCAGAAGGTCAGCGGTTCGAATCCCCACGACGGGGTGAGCTCCTGTTGCTCAGTCCCTGCTCCTGCCAACCTAGCAGTTCGAAAGCATGTCAAAGTGCAAGTAGATAAATAGGTACTGCTCCAGCGGGAAGGTAAACGGTGTTTTTGTTCGCTGCTCTGGTTCGCCAGAAGCGGCTTAGTCATGCTGGCCACATGACCCGGAAGCTGTACGCCGGCTCCCTCGGCCAATAAAGCGAGATGAGCGCAGCAACCCCAGAGTCAGCCACGACTGGACCTAATGGTCAGGGGTCCCTTTACCTTTACCTTTAATGTTTGCAGTGCACCAAAGGCAAGGGATATTATAGTTCTGGTGTAGCTCGTGTATTTATGCTGTGAGGGGCTATTTAATCTAGAATATGAAAATAAGTGGGAGTTTCAAAATGCTGTTTACCTTTCCCGTGCCTTGTTTGAGAGAGAATTATTTCTTGGTGGTGGTGCCTTAATAATAGCCTATAGAGGAGCAGGCTTGTCTTCTCCACCCAGGCCCATTAAACAAAGGAGAGGTGAGACACTTCTGGGAAATGATCATTTGCCACAGGGTTATTCAGATAGCACTTTGCTCTTCTCCAGAGCATCCATACAGAACCTTCTCCATGCCCAACAATTTGCATAGGGATGCAGGGGGAACTCCTTGTCCTTCTGTTGTTCAACAGCTCCAGTCAGAATGGTTAGTGGCCAGGAATGATGGGAATTGTAGCCCAATGACATTAGGAGGGTGCCAGGTTCGCCATCCCTGACTTAGTGTCTTCCTGATGCATCTTCAAAGGAACTATCTGAATATCAAGAGCAGGCATAGGCAAACTCAGTCCTCCAGATTTTTTTGAGACTACAGTTCCCATCATCCCTGACCACTGGTCCTGTTAGCTAGGGATGATGGGAGTTGTAGTCCCAAGACATCTGGAGGGCCGAGTTTGCCTATGCCTGAGCAAGAGGCATACAGTTTCAGGGCCCAAATTCACTCACTGTCAGATCAGACATCCGGGTGCCCCACCTACAATATCTACTTTAGGGTGAAATCTCCTCCTCACGCACACACCCTGTTTTCATCCTGTTTAGTTATCAAAGGAAGAAACTGCCTGGTTCATGCACAAAGTGGTGGTGTTTTTCAAATGAATTCCTTCAAAATGCATTCTGAAAATGAAAGGAGGTAACCAAGTTGGCCATTAATTTTTTTCTTTTAATGGTAGTGCTAATTTTATCATTTGTACCTAATGTAAAATAATTTGCCCTGGCTGTAAATCCTCCCCTGATGCTGTACAAGGCTTTGTTGTCCTGTGTAAAACACAACTTATAGCATACCGTTGAAACCCTTCTGGATCCACCCTGAGGCTAAGGAGGTGCCCACAAGTTATTGCAAAGATTAATTTCATTCTGAGATGGATATGGCGTTCTGCAGCCCAATTGTGCATGTTTACACAACAGCCCAGTTGAAAAGAGGTGCAGATTTCCGTCCAGTCTGGTTGGTTTCGGTTTGTGGGCTCTGTTAGAATCGGTACTTCAAAACACCTGGGTTTTAGTGTGGCTTCTTGCTGTCTCTCAAAAGTAAATGGTCTAAGAGGTACCTCTGATCCAGGCTGCAATTTGATACCCCTTTACCTTGAGAGTAAAGCCCCATTGAGCCCTATTCAATGTCAATAGCACCATCAAAGAATAGAATTTTCAGGGCAGCTGTTTCTATATTTATCAGAGAGCAGGCTTATAAACACACTTCCTCCAGGGAAATTTCTGGCCCCTTCAGCTTCCTTTTTTTTTTTTTAAGCTCCCAATTCTTTCTTTACAGACTTTTATAGAAGGAAAATCACCTAGTTGCTCAGTGAGAGGTAAATCTGCTCTGCTGCCTTCCATTGCGGTGTTCAGGGAGCACCAAGGCGGTGGAGTAATCAGTAGTTGGACACCTGACATTTGAGTTAATGAAATAAAATGTAAATGAAAATTGCACTTCTCTAACATGTTTAAAAGTTTTGTTCTATTAGCAATAATTTCTGAAAGCTTAGCCATATTAGTCTGCTACTCCCAAAAAATAAAAATAAAACCATTGTGTGTCACCCTAAAGTCCTAACAGATTTGCAATGCAATCCTAAGCATGCTTACTCAGAAGTTAGTCTGTGTACATCAGTGGGATTTACCCCTAGTTAAGTGTTTTTAGGACTGCAGCCCTATGGTAAGTATAAACAGACCAGAGGGTAAGAAATAACTGTGTAGCTAAGTAAAAAAAAGCTTATGCTACAATAGAGTTTGAAGAAGAGGAGTTTGGATTTGATACCCCACCTTTCACTCCCTTTAAGGAGTCTCAAAGCGGCTAACATTCTCCTTTCCCTTCCTCCCCCACAACAAACACTCTGTGAGGTGAGTGGGGCTGAGAGACTTCAGAGAAGTGTGACTAGCCCAAGGTCACCCAGCAGCTGCATGTGGAGGAGTGGAGACGTGAACCCGGTTCCCCAGGTTACGAGACTACCGCTCTTAACCACTACACCACACTGGCTCTTCATAGAATTGAAGAACGCAGGAATATGCAGCTGTTCCATATGGGGATCAAACTTGCAACCTTGGCATTATCAGCACAATGCTCTAACCAACTGAGTTAGGTGACTCAAGCTTCTTTGTTTGAATTCGTTATACTATTTAGTGGAGTGTTTTTGTTTTGGCATTGGCTTACCTTGACTACCCTAAGCTGCCGTCCCTTCTATACACTTTCCCCGAAGTAGGTCCAGCTGAATTCAGGAGGACCTACTTCTGAGTAGGCCCTGATAAGGTCGCACTTGTCAGTGAATCCATAAGCCTTTGTCAGCTGGGGTAGTTCAGCTGGTTAGAGCATGAGACTCTTAATCTGAGGGCCATGGCTTTGAGTCCCATGTTGGGCAAGAAGTTGGGCATTGCAGGGGTTGGGCTAGATGACCCGCATGGTCCCTTCCAACTCTATGATTCTTGCTGTGGGCTCACCTGTATAAGAGCCCTATTTTTGATAGCAATTCGCTGTCAGCCAACATATAATCAATTGTGCTGGTTCTTACCCCACACATGAATGTATATTCCCTGGGGATATTGCCCCTGGTGCAACCATTTAGGATATGAAAACTTAGGCAAAGATCAGAAGACAACCTGGATGGTCGCCAGATTCTGTGTACGCGCAGACGATCTCCTAACTCAAACTAGTTCGTTATGAAAATCCCCAAACTCAGTTCCATGGGTGACTCTGGGTCAACTCCCTGCGGTAGTTTATTGTTGTACATGGTTTTTAAATTTATTGTTGTACATTGTTTTAATTGTTTGTTTTTCTTCTGTGACTGTACCCCCAAGTGTGTTTTATAAGCTGGTCTCCGACCGTAATAAATTATCTATCTATCTATCTATCTATCTATCTATCTATCTATCTACCTATCTTTCTATCTGAGCCCTGCTGGAGACCAGTGTGGTCTCACAGTGGCCAGCCGGATGCCCTTGAGAAGCCCATAGGCAGGAGGACACTTTGCAGCAGCTCTTTCCCCAGTTGTGTTTCTTCAGAGGCACACTAACTCTGACAGTGGAGCCGCAACACTGCCATCGACAGCCTTATAACCCATTAGTTTGCCTAACCCCCAGCACATCGCATGGGAGCAAATTCCACAGTTCCAACTATACCCTGCCTGAATAAATAACCACCTTTTTGCCCACCCTGAATCTTCCAACATTTAACGTGGTTGGATGTGTGTATGAGAGGGAGAAAAACCACTTCTGTACGTTTTCTTTGCTCTGTGGATAATCTCAAGCACTTCTGTCGTGTCTGACATTTGCCTTAATTTCCAAACAAAGCAAAAAACAGTGCCAAATGCTGCAACCTTCCTTTGTAGCCCCCTCAGTCATTTTGCTTGCCCTTTTCCTGCCCTTTGTCCAGCTCTGAAGTGTCCTTTTTTGGGGGGGGCGCCACAACCAGAACTGTACACAGAATGGCACCGTGCAGTTAATTTACCTCACGAGCTTTTGCTCTGGAAGAACCTAAGTATATGAGGCAGACTTGTACAGAACATGTGCAGATGCCAAAAACAACAACAATAACAAAAAGGAAATAAAAAAGAGTAGGTATAGTCAGAAGCCGAAGCCACGAAAACTGCTGCCAACAATGTGGCTGGTTAGTCATTTCTTGTGTGTTTGTTGTGGTCATGTTCCACCCTTCCTCCAAGGAGCTCTGAGCGGTGTGCATGAAGGCTGCCTCATCTTATTATATGTTAGAAAATGTCCTGTCATATGAGAATGTGTCATCCCTCCACCACTCATGGCTCTCTGACTTCGTTTCACTAGCAGTTCCCTAGAGAATATAAACTCTCTCCCCCCCCTCCATTTCCAGATAATAGCAAATAATTTCTTCTCTTCCCATGAGGCAAGTTCTTTAGGCTCCACTGCATGCCTTCTGTGTCCATCTTTTCCTCTCGCTTTTGTGTCCTCTGTAAGTTGTTCCCTCATGTTCCTGCTTTTGAGTTGGACGCCTGCGTTTTGTAGGGGGCTGCAGTTTACTGAGTCAGACGTTCTCTGATCACTCTCCCATCTACCTCTTCCCTCGAGTAGTCCCACTTCCTGTGCCCTCTTCCAACACCCACAGACTTTAAATCAGTTCTTACGGGCACTTCTGATAAAAGGTTGCGCTGGTTTTCCACCCTGGGTGTTCACCATAGATATGCCAAGAGATTACAGTGATGGCGTTGCTTGTCTACAGAGAATAAAGGCCAATGGTGGCTTTCAGTTGTATAATGGAAGTTGATGCCCGCATAGCTGGTCCTGTTATCTTGGCCTTGTGAGGGTTTTCCTCCACTCCCAAGCCACCTTGACCTTTCATTTTCTTGAGTAGTGCTGCTGTGTGTCATTCTATTGCAGACCATTTCCCCTTGAGCAAATACTACATTAGCAAACATTTTATGACATCACAGTAGCTCAGTTGATCCCCGTGATTAGCCCTCTGACAGATGGAAAGCAGATGGCAGCCTGTGGCTAGCCTGTTTCTGTTTGCCGAGGGGATAATTGTATTGTTCCCTACCACATTTCACAAACGGAAATAATTAACGCTCCTATGCATGGATGGGGTGGGGTGGGGGATGTTTGAGACTATGGGCAGAGTTCAGCAGACCAACAGTGGCCTGGTGTGTGATGGCCGTGTCAGCAAAATCCAGACACTCATGGCTTCTCAGAAAGTGGGAACTAAAGGCTCCTGCAAGAAGATTTCTCTAGATGAGAAAAGCACCAAGGCAAGTCACACGTTGCAGGGAAAGTTAAAATTATGTGAAGGACACACATTGCATGGATTCTAACGTACTTTTCCATCTATAAAATGCCCCCATCTATAAGACCCCCCATATTTTGGGGGACTCAAATTTAAGAAAATGGGGGGAGAGATGGCTCAGATTTGTTGAGTTTTTTTTGCGGAGGATTGCCCAGAGTTTTACAGTGTTTTTTTTTTGGGGTGGGGAATTGCCAAAAATTGCTCACACGCAGCATCGACACTGACAATTGCAGACAGCAGACAATTGCCCACTTCTCACAGCGACAGACAATTGCAAACAGACCCTTCCCCAGCAAAAAAATCCTTACCCAACTGAGAAAAGCTGTCCGTTGGCAATTGCACGCATCCCAGAACAGCCACCGCCAATTGCGGCAGCGGCAGCCAATCAACAGCAGTGTTTGCTGCAGAAGCCAATCACCAGCCCAATTAGAGAAGCAGCAGCCAATTGAAAGCAGCCCTTCTAGCAGCCAACAATCATCACTGACAAGCTCCTGCCAATCACCTGTCCACCCCATTCACTATCCATGGATAAGATGAGGCAAGTTTTTGAACATAATTTTAGAGTAAAAAAACCTCGTCTTATACATGGAATAGTACAGTATTTGGAGGATGTTCATAGAATCATAAACTGGTTGGAAGGGATCATGAGGAGAATTATCTAGTCCAACCCCTTGCGATGCATGAATCTCAATCAAAGCATCCATGAGAGATGGCCATTGAATCTCTGCTTAAAAACCTCCAGTGAAGGAGAGTCCACTATGCTGGTTCTGTTTTACAGCTGGAGAAGACTTGACACACAGCAGTAAGTGGCAGAGCCCAAGAACAAGCAGCAAATCCATGGCAGGGAATTCTTAAAGCGGAAACTGCATCTGGTATTGCAGTGCTATGGTTTTCACAGTAGTGATGTATGGACGTGAAAGCTGGACCATAAAGAAGGCTGATCGCCAAAGAATTGATGCTTTTGAATTATGGTGCTGGAGGAGACTCTTGAGAGTCCCATGGACTGCAAGAAGATCAAACCTCTCCATTCTTAAGGAAATTGGCCCTGAGTGCTCACTGGAAGGACAGATCATGAAGCTGAGGCTCCAATACTTTGGCCACCTCATGAGAAGATAAGATTCCCTGGAAATGACCCTGATGTTGGGAAAGATGGAGGGTGCAAGGAGAAGGGGACGACAGAGGACGAGATGGTTGGACAGGGTTCTCGAAGCTACCAGCATGAGTTTGAGCAAACTGCGGGAGGCAGTGGAAGACAGGAGTGCCTGGCATGCTCTGGTCCATGGGGTCACGAAGAGTTGGGCAGGACTAAACGACTAAACAACAACAAATTGCAGTGCCTCTGAGCATATGCGGAATGCTTTGCTCTCAGTATTAAGGGAATGTGTGTCCCTTTTCCTCTGTCAGTGCCCACTTTAAAATTAAGAAGCAGAGTGACTCTGAGAAGGTCAGAGTGCCTTTACGTTGTCACTTCTTCCACAGTCATAATAAAAGAGCGTTTTCCTTTGTCCAAGGCTCAGAAGGATGGAAGCAGGTGTGGTTTCACCCAAAACAGGACTCTTGCCAATAATGACTCCCCTGGCTGAATCTGATCCGCTCCAACACACTGATGCCAGGGAATGGGGTGGACAGAGGTGGTTATAGGGTATTACGACCAGTTCGGCTGCACTGGCTGCTGGCATTGCAGGGGGCACTGCAACAGTGATACAGAACAGAGCATGAGAGGTGAGGGAGCCCCAAATTTTAGCAACGCACAGGGCGCTGCTGAAATTTGAGAGCCCCAATCTGCCACTGGGTGGGTGTAACGTTGGTGGTGGGAGCTAGTAGCAGGGCCCCACTTTCCCTTAATCTGCACTCTTAGTGTGAGCAGGTCTTTTAAAGGATTTGGAATTTGTGAAGGCTCCCTACAGCTGAGGGAAAAAACCAATCTGCATGAGAACATCTCTTGGTCTTGATCTCTGCTTCACTCTCTTTACAGCCCAGCATAGATATTAGGAGTGCCTAACCCTATTGATTTTTTTATTATTATTTAAAAAAAATTGGTCCTGGGTGTGTCTACATAGGAATGGGCCTCAGGTTTGTTTGTTCTGCACATTTGTCAGCAGTTCATGAAGCTGATAACCACCCTTTCCCAGAGCAATGGATAAATGAGTCCATTTCCCCTTCTGTTCCATTAGGGATTTTTATCTGCAACAGAGTTAGCCTATGTTTAAAACCGGTATTGAATCAGAAAAGTTACAGATATTTGTCTGTTGTTTTATGGAAGCAACTTAGTTTGATCTATTGAAATTGAGGCTCTAACAAGCATCCCAGTTTCACAAAACCACACCAAGGCAATCCATTAGTAATCAGCAGTATCCATTAATCAGCTAAAATCATCATAATTGAACAAATGTCATTCCTTTAGAGATAGCAGTGTAGTTTGTTATCGAAAAATCAGAATTACTCACACAGGATTAATGAAACTAATATGCATTGCTTATAATGGTTTCATTTTATTATATTAATTACACATGGGTAATTTTGATTTTTTGATAGCTAATTAAATAGGAAAATTATCTTTGACTGTGTCAGAGGAATTCATACTGTAATGATTATTTTAAGCTGTACCCCACTGGCAGTAGCTAATCCTGCATCTCCTTCCCCCTGCCCTGGGTTGGGACATCACTTGCATCCACACATTCCTTAAGTAACAAATCATATACCGTATAACTTTTGGGGAAGCAGATTTGTTGTACTGTACAAGAACGCTATTTGGTGATTTCTATTCATCTCAGTCATTCTTTATGATGTGTTATGAAGAGCTCGCAAAGAGAGCTTGCAAACACGGGCAAGGATTCCTGGAAGAAACTGAAGAGAGAGAGATTGTGTCTTTTGGAGCCCGAGGGTGTGTGTGGCTGATGGCTCTATGGGAACACAGGATCTGAGAGGGAGGAGTTCCAGCTGAGAGGAAGCCAGGCTGAGGGAGGAGTTAGCAACCATCAGCAGTCAAACTTAGCTCAATGCAGATCCTGGGAGCTCGCAAACAGACCTCGCAAATGGGTGTTTAGTGGGGGAGTTTAAAGGGGAGGCCCAGAGTTCTGTCTCTTGGTGTGCATAGGACCAGAGACATGGAGGGCGAGGGAGCTGCTGCAGTGATCTGTCAAACCTGTGCCATGTTTGACATTCTGCCAGTGAACAAGGAACAGTACACTTGTAGCAAGAGCAAGCTGGTTGTCTTGCTGGAAGAGACTGGAATTTAGGAGTTTAGGGGTATAAACTGTTCCAAAGGAATAGGCCAAACAGGAAGGGAGGAGGAGTAGCATTGTACTTAAAGGATGTCTTCACTTGTGATGAAATCCATGACCTGGAGAATGAAAAGTGGATTGAGAATACAGTCATACCTCGGGTTGAAGTAGCTTTGGGTTGAGTGTTTTCAGGTTACGCTCAGTGGCGACCAGGAAGTAACGGAATGCGTTACTTCCGGGTTTCGCCACTCGCGCATGCTCAAACGCTCAAAATGATGTCACGTGCATGTGTGGAAGTGGCAAATTGCAGTCCGCGCACACGCACATGCAGGTTGCGTTCACTTCAGGATGCGAACGGGGCTACGGGAAAGGCATCCAGAGGTACCACTGTATATGGGTAAAAATGGTAGGAGAGAGACGCAACAGTGACCTTACTGTGGGTGTCTGCTATAGACCGCCAAGTCAGATTGAAGACTTGGATGATGCCTTACTAGAGCAGATTACCAAACATTAAGAAAGGAGAGAAATAGTAATCATGGGGGACTTCAACATCCCCGATATCTGTTGGGACTCAGACTCTGCCAAGAGTGTAAGGTCTGACAAATTCCTCTATTGCGCCACAGACAATTTCATTTCCCAGAAGATGGAAGAACCAACAAGGGGGTCATCTATCTTGGACCTGGTCCTCACCAATAGGGAGGAACTGATTAATGAAGTGGAAGTGCTCAGAAACATGGGAGGAAGTGATCATGTTCTCCTGGGTCCGTTGTTGTTTAACGTCTTTATAAATGACTTGGATGAAGGAATTGAGGGGATGCTCATCAAATTTGCAGATGACACCAAACTGGGAGGAGCAGCTAATGCCGCAGAAGACAGAATCAGAATTCAAAATGACCTTCACAGATTGGAGAACTGGGCACAAGCTAACAAAATTAATTTCAATAGGAACAAATGTAAGGTTCTGCACTTGGGCAGGAAGAACCAGATGCACAAGTGCAGGATGGGGGGGGGGGACACCTGGCTTGCTAGCAGTACATGGGACCACACTTGGAATACTGTGTCCAATTCTGGGCACCACAGTTTAAGAAGGATGTAGACAAGCTGGAACATGTGCAGAGGAAGGCAACCAAGATGATCAAGGGACTGGATACCAAGCCTTATGAGGAGCTGGGTATGTTTAGCCGGGAAAAGAGGAGACTGAGAGGAGGCACGATACCCATCTTCCAATATCTTAAGGGCTGTCACATGGAGGAGGGAGCACGCTTGTTTTCTCCTGCTCTGGACGTAGGACTCAAACCAATAGCTTCAAGTTGCAAGAAAGGAGATTCTGACGAAACATTTGGAAAAACTTTCTGACAGTAAAAGCTGTTCAGCAGTGGAACAGGCCCCCACGAGAGGTGGTGGACTCTCCTTCATGGATGATTTTGCTGAGTTTCCTGTATTGCAGCGGGTTGGACTAGATGACCCTCGGGGTCCCTTTCAACTCTATGATTCTATGCACTCTTAGTGCACCAAGGGCATGAGAGATCTGCACAGTAGTGAGACAGCCCAGGCAGTGTCTGCCCTGTGTACCCATGCTTGACAACGGGGCCGGTTTGAACCCAGTGGAACTTCTGAGTAAAGCTCATAGGATTAGGCTGCCCTCCCCCAGGCCCTGTTACAGGAGACCTGTTGGTAGACTGGCTAGATGCCTGTGGAGGATAGCATAGCTTGCCATGCAGGGGTGAGAGAGACTAAGCACTCTGAAATGTCTCTTGCATAGCGAGACTTGTTCTTTTGCATCTGGTCACTGTAACCACTCTTGCCTTTATATTTTGAAAGAGGGCTTCTCGCTGTTTGTTTCTGTGTTTTGAGTTGGGCTTCCATCCTACCTACCCAAATCGTGACCTTTCGGGCCAACGTAATCATCTATGTGTTGGCCTTCCAGGGGTTTGATAAACCTGTTTTTCCTGCTTTTTGGACTGACTGCAGGGGAAAAAAAGAAAAAAGGCAGTTGTTGAGCACTTGGCAAGTCACAACACACACTGGGTGGGCTGCAAGTTGTGTGGGCTTCTTTGAACAGCTGCGTGACAGGTAGAAGTTCAACATGTTTAGATTCCTCAGCACAAAAGGAGCCAAGGGGAGGGGAAAACATTGCCTGACACACTTTTGCCTGTCGTGGAGCAAGGGCCTGCAAATGGTGGGGTGGAACTTGCAATTCTATATTTAACATCTTGCCATTTTTCAACATTTATTTTAAGTCTTCTGAATGACTCTGGGTTGTGTGTGGGGGATTCCCTAGTCTAAATCTTTTTCCTCTTGAGAAATGTTGATCATGACTGGACGAGTTTTAACTTTTAAAGTAACTTCTATCTGTTTTAGGACTTTGCACTAAAGATCCTCAGATGGATGTAGGAACCCAGAGATAACTGATTTGAGCATTTTAGGACTGGGACTCCAGTGTTGTGGTAAATGTAAATGCATTTTAAATGTAAATGCATTTTAGTATTGCAGCAGCCCATCTGTGGTGTGTCACTACTGCTAATGTCCAGTTTAAAAAAAATAGTACGGTGTGCTCTTGTGCAGAGTTAGCTACGTGTCAACCTCCTGGTGTCAATTGCCTTGTATAATGTAACGCTATATAGGACTGAGCTGTTAGTTTAGCTAAATCAAGGCAATCGTGTGTTTACAAGGTTGAGGGGGTCCAACCCGCTGAAATTTAGCATTCTTAAATCTCATTTATTCCCTTGGAATTTGAAGCACAGTTAAGGTGGCTGTCATGTGTCCACTTGCTTAGGTGTAAGTCCCAGGGGGCATGCACAGCATTCAAAATTTACCAGGTGCATTTTGCACCTGGCTATCGGCTAAACCACAGAGCCTAGGACTTGCCGATCGGAAGGTCGGCGGTTTGAATCCCCGCGATGGGGTGAGCTCCCGTTGCTCGGTCCCTGCTCCTGCCAACCTAGCAGTTCGAAAGCACGTCAGAGTGCAAGTAGATAAATAGGTACTGCTGCGGCACAAAGGTATATGGCGTTTCCGTGTGCTGCTCTTGTTCGCCAGAAGTGGCTTAGTCCTGCTGGCCACATGACCCAGAAGCTGTATGCCGGCTCCCTCGGCCAGTAAAGCAAGATAAGCGCTGCAACCCCAGAGTCAGTCACAACTGGACCTAATGGTCAGGGGTCCCTTTACCTTTATCGGCCACTTACAACCTAGGTGAAGATGCCTGGGTTCCAGAATGGTGCCTGACGTCTCCACCTTCTGGAGGTGCATGTCTGGGGATCCTTGGATCTTGATTGCCTTAACACTCTAGCAACACATCTACTGGCGGAGGAATGGGTGTGCGGAGGGAGCAGACTGCCCCCGGCACCACTATTCCGGTAGGGTGCCATCGCTGCAGCCCCCCGGACACGCGCTGCGCACCCCCCATGTGCCGGGCACCATGCTCCCACAGGCAGCGTGTCACGCCCCCAGAACGCACACCATGCCCTCACGGGTGGCATACCATGCCCCTGGGATACGTGCCACGCCACACCCCCAGGATGTGCACCACGTCCCTGGGGGCGCCAGCCACGCCCCCGCCTGCTCTTTTCCCCCGGTAGCGGAGTATGCAGCTTCGCCACTGAACACATCCTGTAGAATTCTATCCATTATATTTTATCTGCACAATCAGAATGAATTTCAGGAATCAAAAACTCACATGCTAAAATACAACTTTTGAGCCGTCTGGCCCAAAAATAGCAGCTAGGAATTCTGTTTTGGCGATTGTAACCATGGTTTAAGGAGCCATTTGGTGCCTAGCTTCTATATCTGAGTTTCTAACACTGACATGCTTCCAAGTAAACAAACGTAGCATTGCATTAAATCATCCAGTTGATTTCTGAAATTTGCACCTTGCCTTTCCCACCAAATGCTGCCCATCCTAGCTACCAGTACATCCTTGGCGTTTGAAGCTACAACTGCGCCAAAAGATGGACAGTCTTAATGGGTTTGCTCTGCTTGTCTTTGGCTGCTGAGGTAAAGAGAAGGCAGGGGTGTTCGCTTATTTAAAGAAACCTTATCCCTGTAGGTGTCTTTAACAAACAAACAAATCTGAATTGTTCTACGGTTTGCATGCGTGTCTTTGTTTTCCAAAACGCAAGTTTTCTGTTTTGCATCAACTGTGGTGCTCTTGTTCAAGCAGGTATCGGTGAAGTCAGGGCCTTTTTTCAGCTGGAACTTGCCAGAACCTGGTTTCAGCATCTCTCAGGTGGATGCCATTGCCATTATAAGAGAACACGGGGGGTGTTCATGGGGAGTTCTGGCACCTCTTTTTCTAGAAAAATAATGCTGTGTGAAGTGAATGGGAGCCAGTGACTCCATAATGCAGGTGTGAGCAACCTGTGGCCATTCAGATAATTCAGTCAGCATGGCCAATAGTCAGTGGTGATGAGAGGGTACCAGATTCCTCACTCCTTCCACCAGGAGGTTAGTTTGGGAATTACACTGCTGTTTTTCTGTGGGAAATCTTAGAAAATTAGGCCTCTTTTTAAAAAAATAAATAAATACATTTACAATGTACTTCCTTGTATTGATATCTGGGCTGGGCACACACACCCCTTTTTTGTTCTTGTTTCCTAAATATGTACTGCTGTTGTAGACAGCCAACAGTTTGAAAAGTCATCTTTCCAGAAAATTGGGAAAAGGCTGGTGGTTTTACAAGGAACTTCTTTTCTGGGATGTTGTGCAAAAACGTCGCCCCTGAAATGTAAGCGGGCAGTATTTAGCCAGCAGGGAAAGACTAATTCTTTCAAAAATAAACAGTACACACACTCAAGTTCAGACAATAAGAATCAGCTTAAGCTTAGGGTAGAGGATTTCCTTGTTTGTGTGTGAGGCGCCCTCAGATCCCGGGGGTTGGCTTTCCCCCAGTCACTTTTGGTTGTCCACAAAAGCAGGGCAATACGTACTTTGGGGTAAACATCACTCTGTAAGGCGAATATTCATTGCCACGAGGTGGGGGAGAAGAAAGCACCTTTTGGTTTGATTGATAGGGAGTTTGCAAAATGCCTGAGAAGAGAGAACAGATTTGATGTCTTAACTGGAGTCTGGTAGATGAGTTACCTTTCTGGAAATGTGCTGTGTTGATGCATTGCTTGGGTGATCCTCCTGAGTTTGATGCTTTTTTTCATTTAAAAACAGACGCCCTGGGGCACACCCCTTTCTACAGCTTTCTGAAATAGAAGTGCTTGAAGAGGCTGGTGGTCATGGTGGGCTTTTCTTTTTGGAGTTGTTCAACAGCTAGAAATGTTCATGTCTCCCTGCAGTGGAGATGTGGTGATGATGAAAGAAGGACTTGGTTACCATTGCCTGCCTTGTAGCTGTTCAGCTGTTCACCATGCAAGTACCGTATTTTTCGCTCTATAAGACGCACTTTCCCCCTCCTAAAAAGTAAGGGGAAATGTGTGTGCATCTTATGGAGCACATGCAGGCTGCGCAGCTATCGCTGAAGCCAGAACAGCAAGAGGGATCACTGCACAGTGCTCCCTCTCACTGTTCTAGCTTCTGGCTTAGCTGCACACAGCCTTTTCAGGGCCACGGGGAGCCTTCATCCCGCTGCCCTGAAGAGGCTGCGCAGCTATCCCCGAAGCCAGAAAGCTCAAGAGGCTTTGCGTTGCTTTCTTGTTTCTTGTTTTCCTCCTCTAAAAACTAGGTGTGTCTTATGGTTGGGTGCGTCTTATAGAGTGAAAAATACGGTAGTTGCACTCTTCCCCTGTGGCAGCTATAGAGTGCAAATGAAGATTGCAAATGGAATGGAGATGGGTGTCCTCTCTCTCCCACATCTCCTCCACAAGGTTCATATTCACTCTTTATCTTCTCCCCCAGATAGTTCATATGCCAGAAGTGAGCTGCTTTGGTATGCATTCCCTTGAGGGCTAGGGTGTTTGCAAGGCTGTTTGGAAGATGGAGCTTCAAGGAAAGCAAAGAGGTGCTAAAATGGCTAGAATAAGTTGATAAGCTGGCTAGACAGGGATTTTCTTTTCGCACAACCTTGGCTGGTTTGCTTTTTTGTGTGTGAGCTATTTAGAACAGAGCAATATTTTGTATACCTATTCTCATGGGCAAAAGACTTCAAGGTTTTTGGATTCTAATTTGTTTCCATGAAACCTAAATGGTGCTTTGTGGCTGTCCCCATTTTATGGATGGGAAACTGTGACATTTAGGCATTGTGTATTGTCAAAGCTCCACAGATATGGTAGCTGGAGAGACCTCTAGCACTCTGAAAAGCTAGTGAAAAATGTCTCTGTCAACAGAAGCTCATAGTTTTGCTCTTATTGCCTGTGTCTGCTAGTTAGTGTATATTAGGGATGGGCAAACTTTAGGCTTATGGGATCTAAATTTTTTTTTATTACTGGAACCAGACCTCAGTGCAGAATAGTGACTGAGGACAAACACTGAGAATTAAAGGCAGGGTACCTCTTAGCACAGCCCAGGATAAAGATCCATTCTGGGTTCCTCCCCCCCCCCATGCTTCCTTTGTTTCAGGATAGGGAGAGGTCTGCCTTTTTGCTGCTGCTATTGTTAGACAGTTGGGAGTCAGAAATCCATGACAACCTACTGCAAATTCTTTAGAAATCTGCTAGGAGACCCTGGTCTGCCTTCTGCCCCTCCTCCAGTATAACACCTGTTGTGCCAGCACAACATCATCAAACAAGATCTCTGCATGTCAGATAAATATGGTATAGGAGATCTTGAGGATTGTAGTGTCGAAGACGTGCTGGCCCCTTATTTTAGTTTTCATTTTTAGCTGTGTTTCCATTTTGCAATCGCCTCCCCACCGCTGCCACCCCAAAGCACTTGCTTAACTCAACTGCAAAGGAAGTCTTTTTCTCTGTTCTTTCTTTCCTGTGCCTGCCTGACGAATTCTTTTGAATGCATACAAGATATCTGCGGCCTCCGTCCAGAATCCAAGCTTCCTGTTTAGCATTATCATACACTTCCATACAGACTCAGCCAACTCAGGAGGTCTTGCTGCCGCAAAATAGTTTCTTTCCAACTGTCCCAGTTTGCTCTTCAGTTACACCCCCAAAGGGCTTCATACGTTGTGCGGATCCGTTGCCCTATGTTCAAACACAAGCATCTCCCTTCCCCTCCCAGGCTATCGCTGTAGTGGGCTAAATTGCTGTGACGTCTTGTATGTAGAAAATGCAAGTGGCGGGGCTGCCTTGACGAAGCTGTTTCACTGGTAGCTGTTAATCGGCTATAGAGGTGAAGGGTTAGCTCTTGCAGCGCCAGCTTTGCTGTTCATTTACTGCTTTGTGCTAGCAGCTGATGTGTGTATCGTTGGCAACAGCCTCGAAAGGATCTGGGAGCACAGCGAGATGCTCAGAAGTGACCTGAAGCAGAGGAGAAGAATTTTAAAAGGGCCATTAAAAGCCCGTGGTGTAAACAATAAGCACAGTTGTTTAAACCCAAGCTTTTGAAAGGCCATCACTTGAAAATGTTTAGCAGAGGAAAGTCCTTCCTCCTTCCTCTGAACCTTCACCCTTTGATATACAAGTGTTCCAAGATTTATCAGAGGTGGTGGTGGGGTTTTGCAGAGAAAGAAGCTGGCCAGTACTCCAGCTGTGAAAGCCCCAAATGGTCAGAGGTTGGTGCTAATAACCCGACCCTGAAATTGTACCTGCCCCTTTAAAAGTTCCGACGGCAAAAGGATGAGGGTGCAGCTGTTGCATTTTCTCGCCTGCCCTACCGTTTGTGGGTCAAAAGTAAAAAATTGTGTGTGCTACAGCAGGGCAGTTGGAGCAGCAGAGTGTGCGATCCTGGGTGCCTACAGCTGGTTGCGTTGCTTTCGAGTTTTTAAAGAAGTCCTGGCATAACCTTTTGGCAGGCAGCTGGAAGCTCTACACACAGCATGTAATGATACTGTGAAATACTGTAAGTATTTCCTTGGCAGCCCATCCCACAAAGATCAGTGGGACTTTAAACTCGCGCTAAAGTGGTTTCAGATTGCAGCCTAAATTGGGCTGAGAGAAGATAAAAAGAAGAGAGTGTCTGAAACATAGATCGTACTCTGCTTTTAGCCAAGCAGAAATGTATGTATGTTTGTGGGAGAGGAGGGGGCGATTATGCCCATACTTTTAGCATTGGCTATATGGATGAGAAATGTTTAAAGTGCAGAATGAATTTCAATTAAGTATAGTGCTGTAGGTCTGTCTCCTTTACTCACGCATTAATGCTAAAGATGATAATAAAGTAAGTTTTTTTCCCTTTTTCTTTTGACAGACTAATTAATCACGTTAATGTTCATGTACACTTACGGCAGCACGGACAATCTTATGCTCAGTCATTTGGGAATAAAGTCCCACAGAGCTTACTTCCTGCATCGGAGCAGTCTGTTAAGTTGGCAGCTGTATCAATTTGATTAAACAGCCTTTTCACAAACTGGTGCCTGGTTAGGGGCTGGTTTCCTCAAAGCTTGCTTTGCAAGTTTGTGTGTGTGTGTGTGTGTGTGTGTGAGCGCACATTTTCGGGAAGAGGAGGGGACGGATGTGAAAGAAGTGTGGCTTTAAGGAAGGACATGAAGAAGCAACTTTTAAAAGACAGCCATGCATGTTTTAATCTCTTCTGTGGTTTCAGAACGCCATTGGGAGCCTCCCTGGATGAGCAGAGCAACACAGTTCTAAAGGGTAAGGATCCGAGACCTTTTAAGTGCATTTCTGTTTTCCTGCTTGTTTGTTAGACAAAAAAAATCCTAATTCAAATGCGGGTTTGAGCTGACGGTGTTAGAAGTTGTTGAGCGGGCTTCTGCAAGCCTGAAAGCAGAGGAGACAAATGGATCTGCAATTTTTTTAAACTGAAGGAACTCTTAAGCAATATTTCTCTTGTGATAAAGATAAGCTGTGCTGTTTGTGTGAGAGAGAGGGAAAGAGAGAGAGAGAGAGAGAGAGAGAGAGAAAGGCAGAGAATGAATATTAAGTATTACACTGAGAAGTAGGTCAACCCCTTTCAGCACAATCTCTGTTGGCTTGCTCTGACCGAACTTGCCACACCTGAAAAGTTACCACTTGCGCAAACCAGAATGCAAAAGTTCAAAGTACAACAAGACGCTGCAGGTAGCGACAGGGCAGCTCCGAAGCCCTTTCAGTAGTTGCAGCTCCTTTCTTTCAATGCGCAAGGGAGACAGGGAATGTTTGATCCAGGACGTTTCCTTGGCTTGAGACTCCTTGGTAAGAGACCTGCAGGCTTGCTTAAGATGCATTCTGTGTTATATGCGGTGCAGCGGTAACCAAAGGTGTGTGGTACTCATGGCTCTGAAATGGCCATTTTCTTTAGCTTGGGCATGGAGCTCTATGGAAGTTACTTCAATGCATCTTTTGTGTCTGTTGTAAGACCTGCTCTCTGCATTGAAAATAACAATATCTCTTACCTTGAAGCAGACTGAGACACTGCAAAGCACTGGTCTGGTCCCCAGATTTGAGCTTGGAGAGCTCAAATTTGGCTTTCAAGAACAAGGATTTTATATGCATGGCTGTCATTTGGTGCTTTGGTTTTAAGTGGGCAATCCAGATAACTGGAAGGGGAAACCACAACGCTAGATGTTGATCACTTCAAATTGGCATCTTTTCAGGCATGCTGGTAAGAAATGGAGGAAGCTTTGAAGATGATTTATCCCTGGGAGCCGAAGGTAGGTGTGGTGTTAAAATGCATGCTTGTTCCCTGCTCCCCAAATCAAAATCAAGCAGCTTGTTAAAAGCAAAACCGTGTGTAGTGCAAGATTTGCTGAACTACAGCACTCACATGTGAGCATTGAGATTGCTTTCAGTCGAAGTCCAAGGACATCTCAAGTCGATAGATTCTTCATCCCTGACCTAGTCAAACTACATGGGCTACATTGCTTGACAAATAGAGAGAAAGAGGATGATTGGAAAAACATGAAAAGTCCTTTTAAAGATCTGTTGGTATAGCTACAGATCGGTCTCTGAACTCAAAAATCAGATATGTATGTTCATCTCATTATTGACATTGGTTAAGTCTAGGGTTTGGGGTTGGTTGCTTGTGGTTTTTTTGCAGATTTTGTGTGTGCACCTGTGCAAATGATTACACAAAATTATGTTTGATTGGATGCTGTCACAGGAGGGTGATGGGAAGAAGAATAGCTGTACCATAGGCAGGGATGGCAGCTGCTTCCCACAGCTGACATTTTGTACCCAAGATCCAGTGGCTCTGCAGGTGTCATGTATTAAGCGGACTAATGGAAGCTTTTGCTATTGTGGAGGTTGAGAGTTATGCAGAGCAGATCTGAACCATGCAGGAACTGAAAATTGAATTTAAGGCAACCTGTCATCCTCAATATACTGTGCCCAGGAATCTCCTAGGTTTATGGGCTCTCTTGTATTTATGGGCTCAGTTGTATTTTGCACATAAAGGGCTGCTGCTGCTGTCTCATAGCAGCCATGATGAAACAAATGTCCTTGCTCTGCCAGTTCCCTTTCTTCGTTATACATTGGTATTGGAGCATAGTCTTAAATAGGTCTTGGAAAAGGCTTGTATGCAACCGCCATGCTCCTAATTCTAACCTGATTTGTATAGTCTACTGCAGATGTTACACAAGACGTGTTCATAGCATATATGGTGAAAAAAACTACAGCAGAATTTGTCACTGCCTATCAAGTGGCTATTGTTGTTTGGGTGACTGCATATAGTCTGTTGCCAACCATTTATTTTTCCTGTCTTTCTCCTTTAGCTAATCAACTGCATCAAACCGGCGAGCAAATGGAAATCTGGTGAATATTCACACTTCTGGTTTGGGAGTCATGTCTGGCAAGGGGATAAGCTACCAGGCAATCTATATAAAACATTTAAAAAGTCTAATGGGTTGTTACTGAAGGAGGTCCTTTATTGTGGGAAATGTTTTTGGAATCTGAATTAAGTAAATACCAGCATTTAAAGCAAAATAAACTGAAATCCAGTGATCTTAATTCAAAAACCCCAGCGGTAGCCCAGATCCCTACAGGCACAGGGCTCTTGCTGCCAAATATAAAAACACAGAGTTTCTTTAAGGTCTGGTTTAAAGATGAGGTTTGTGTCATGATTACATTACTTAACTGGAGGCGTTCCGTTCATCATGTGAAGCAGTCAGTTGAATTCAGTAGCTGGAAGGAGACGTAAGTGCAGCATAGAATACTTCTATATTGAATATAAAGAAGGTTTTGATCACATAAAATACAGATGAGCATTTCCCCCTTCTTAACTTACACATCCAGACTCTTTCAGGAGTTGGTGAGGTTTTCCACAAGTCATTTTATGCTTATTGTCTCACCAGCTTACCAATAATATACTGAAGACAGTTAATTAGTCATTTGGGTTTTTTTGTTTCAGCGGGTGATATTGTAGTGCAATGCACCCCCTTCCTTTTTTCCCTTTTGTTCTGTATTGCAAAATACAATTTTGTTGTTGTTTTCGAAAAGAAGTTGAATTCAGCAATGTCCCTGAACAGTGTAAAAGCTTTAGGGGTGGTTTTGTCTTCTTCCAACAATGGAGACAGCAGAAGCTCAGAGATGAGAGTGAGGGTTGTTGTTGTTGTTGTTGTTTTGGAGGAGTTCTGATGCTTGAGGTACGAATATTGCAGCTGTCTGCTCTTAAGTGAAGGGCGTGCATTCTTAAGAAAGGAGAAATGGTACACTATTGGATTTTTGGAGTGTTCTTGAAAGAGGAAGGAAGCTATGCTGTTCTTTCAATGCCTGATTCATTTGTGTTGTCAGTAACGGCATGTTGGCAAAGGACAAGAGGCTGCAGTTTCATCAGAAGGGGAGAAGTATGAATTCCACTGGCTCGGGGAAAAGCAGTGCAACCGTTTCAAGGTAAGCAGTATTGATAACCCGGGGACTGGGGGTAGGTACAGACCTGACATTAGGTTGGGCCCACTGTCTATAAAATGCTGGCTATAGTCAACCCAGCCACTTGCACTTCTCAGTGCTGGAACCTGGGTGGCTTCCCATTTTTAATTCCCCATAATGCATCTGGGCTCCCGAGATAATGTCTCTGCAGAGCTGGGCTCTGGCACTGTCAATCTTTTAATAGCTCAATGGAATTTCTTCTTTCCCCCCTATTCTGCCAACAAAAGTCACCAAGCTATGTTATCTGTTGATGGCCTGAGTGCCTGCTTTCTGCTTTTTTGAGGTATATTCACAAACTAGCACCTCCCTGGAGTTTTATAAGCTGTGGGACATGCTAAATGTGATAAGGGAAGCCATATTTGTTGTTCATGTATCTGCTCTTTTCAAATAGACCTGATTTTTTACATCCATAGATGATGAAAGTTGAACCTCTCATTGACTCCCCATTTTACATCTTACTCTCGCTTTCCCCCTCTATGAGTCAGAGGTGGGGTGAGGGCAAAGTACCTGGGGACAGGAAGCTGGATTAGGCCCCTTCACTTGCACACCCATTTACAGGATGAAATAGCTCCCAATTTGTACCTGAATGAGATGCTACACATGAGCCTGGCTATACTTCTGTGTTTCCATAGGATTTTTTCTAAGGACCAATGAGAAAGATGTGCATTGTTTTGAACAGCATAACACATACTAGAACTACTACATAACCAGTTACAAGATCTATTGTAGTGGAGACTAGATAATGCTATGTACCTTGGCTACTTCTGCTGTCCAAAGCATAAACCAGTTAAGTTGAATTGTTTGGAGTTGAAACTGTAGTCACATAACCCTCACCCCTGGGCATTGGTTCCATTGATCTGATGTTCTTTTTAGTAGATGTGCCCAAGATTGCATTTTAAACTTGCTTTTGAGGTGGTAGATAGCACTTGTCTCAGAAGCGTGTTCAAAACTCTCAAGACTCTGAAATGGTATACTGGGGACTGAAGCATTAAACTTGCATACTAAGCCTAGACACATTTATTTGAAAGCAAGTTTTGCTTTGATCTTGAAGTTCCTCTCAAGTCAGCAGGCCAGAGATGGCTATCGAATGCCACCTCCAGTTCAATGAAGACTACAGAAAACAGGGGCGGGCAATGCAGGCAAGCTTCCCATCCAACTTGTGGAAGGCTAAGGTCTGGAGTGAGTAGCCTCCTGCATTTGTGAAGGCTCCCTGTGCACTTTAGAACCCAGGAAAATCGGGGCTCCAAAATGTGTGGGCAGCCTCCACAAGTGCAGAAGTGTGATGCAAAGTTTTTCTTTTTTGTCCTCACTATTGAAACACCTGAAGAGGGTTGTGGTCTCAGACAGGTCCAGTTCCTCATTCCTCAACACATGTTCTTGGAAGTAGACCTTGCAGACTCCCAGAAAACAATTTCATCTCCTTGAAATGCTTAGAGCCGTAGCCTACATCTGTTTTAATCAGAGGACTTCAGTTTAAGCAGGATGTAGTTCTTGCTTGTATAGTGGTACCTCGGTTTAAGAACAGTCTGGTTTAAGAACAATTTGGTTTACAAACTCCACAAAACCGGAAATAGTGTCTTGGTTTGAGAACTTTACCTCGGTCTAAGAACGGAATCCAAATGGTGGAAGGGCACCGGCTGCAGGAGGCCTCATTAGGGAAAGCACACCTCGGTTTAAGAACAGTTTTGGTTTAAGAGTGGACTTCCGGAACGGATTAAGTTAATAAACCGAGGTACCACTGTACTTGTCTGAAAGGACAATTAAAAAAAGGGGGTGGAAAGCAATTATGGGGTGTTTTTGTTTTTGTCTAGTGTATCTGAACTCCTGGAACTGTACGAGGAAGATCCTGAAGAGGTCCTCTACAATCTTGGATTTGGCCGTGATGAACCAGATATTGCTTCTAAGATTCCATCGAGATTTTTCAATTCGTCGTCCTTTGCCAGGGGGATAGATATCAAAGTGTTTCTGAATGCCCAGTTGCAGCGCATGGAAGTGGAAAATCCGAATTTTGCATTGACCAGTATGTATACTAAATTAAGAGCACGGTTTCAAAATTGCTGATGTCATGTTGATGGCCTCAGGAGCGAGTGTTTGGGGCCCCATCTACAGTGCACATTTAAAGCAGGATCACACCACTTTAAATTATAGGGGCTGTAGTTTGTTCAGGCTGCAGAGAGTTGATAGGAGTCTTCCCCCAAAAAACTTTTAGTGGTTTAGCAGTCATTCTTTGTGAGGGAAATGGGAGGTCTAACAACTCTCAGCACCCTTAATGAACTACAGTTCCCATGATGATGATTTTTTTTGGGGGGGGGAGCTGCAGCTATTTAAAGTGGTGTGGTACTACATTAAATGTATAGTGCAGATGGACACTAAATGGACTTTCCTAACAAAATGCTGAATGCTCTAGAGCTTGGAAACCCAAAAACATCTGGAAGGCCATCACTGGGTCCCCACCCCTATTCCAGAGTGACACATAGTGCCTACTTGAAGGCAGTTGACCACAGATGACAGAGCAGAGGATCTACACTGGCTTCTAGTATGTTTCTGAGCACAATTCAAAGTCTTGGTGTTGACCTTTAAAGCCCTAAAAAGCCTCAGCCCTGTATACCTGAAGGAGCATCTCCACCCCCATCATCCAACCTGGACACTGAGGTCCACCGCCGAGGGCTTTCTGGCGGTTCCCTCACTGTGAGACATGAAGCTACAGGGAACCAGGCAGAGGGCCTTCTCGGTAGTGACACCCCCCCCCCCGCATGGAACTCCCTCCCATCAGATGTCAAGGAAATAAACAACTAGCTTAGTGCAGAGCATCTGCTTTGAAGATTTTGGCCCCAGGTTCCGTCTCTGGCATCTCCACATAGGACTGGGAGAGACCCCCGATCTGAAATCTTGGAGAGCCACCTCAAGTCAGTGTCAATAGTATGGAACTAGATGCAGCAATGGTCTGACTCAGAATATGTGTCATGTCTGGTTGGCTGTAGAGGAATGGTGAGAGGAATCAGTTGAAGAACCCTCATGGGGTTCTTTGAAGGTAGGGCTAACTTTGAAGGTGACCCAGAAACTACAACTAATCCAGAATGTGGCAGCTAGACTGATGATTGGGAGTGGCCACTGAGACCATATAACCCTGGTCCTGAAAGACCTACATTGGCTCCCAGTACATTTCCAAGCACACCTGAAAGTGCTGGTGCTGTTCTTTAAAGCCCTAAAGGGCCTCAGCCCAGTATACCTGAAGGAGCGTCTCCACCCCCATCATTCAGCCCAGACACTGAGGTCCAGCTCCGAGGGCCTTCCAGTGGTTCCCTCCCTGCAAGAAGTGAGGTTACAGGAAACCAGGCAGAGGGCCTTCTCGGTAGTGGCGCCTGCCCCGTGGAACTCCCTCCCATCAGATGTCAAGGAAATGAACAACTATCTGACTTTTAGAAGACATCTGAAGGCAGCCCTGTTCAGGGAAGTTTTTAATGGTTGACGTTTTATTGTGTTTTTAATATTTTGTTGGGAACTGCCCAGAGTGGCTGGGGCTACCCAGTAATATGGGCGGCACATAAATAATAAAATTATTATTACTATTATTATTGTGGTGGTGGTGCATGGTGGGATTCAGAGGAAAGGATACGAAACCACTTTGAGAGGGGTGGATGTGAGTTAAGGGGGCAGGGACCTGGGTGGGCAAAGGTGGTGAAAAGGGCCGATGCTGACCTCTCTCTCCTCCTGAAACATTTCACCAGAACTTTGCTAGATGCAACCAAAATGTATAGTTTGTGTAACTTGAAAGGCACAAGTGATTTAAAGACTAGCCTATTGGCAGTAACATTTTGTATGTGTGTGTGTTTTCCTTTTTCATGTAATAGTCAGAATGACATTTTAATAATGAAATGCAATAGTTTGGAGTACAAAGTAACAAACAGCTGTTCTTAAAAATAAAATAAAATGATTGGCTTTTTAAAAAAATGAATTTCGGAAAAGCCCAAGGCTGTGGGTACTCTTTGACAGAGACATTTGAGGTTTAGCAATCTGGTGGGCCTTTGCCTGCTATGTGTTTGTTTTTACCTTTGCAAGTTCCAAGCAGCTTCATTATTGACTCTTACAATGCCTCCCATTGTTCTCTTTGTCATCTCTTTGTTTTTTTGTCCTTTTGCCAGGCCGCTTTCGTCAAATTGAAGTGCTCACCACGGTGGCCAATGCATTCTCTTCCTTGTACTCCCAAGTCTCTGGCACTCCGCTGCAGAAAATTGGGAGCATGAATTCGACCGCTTCCAGCAAAGAGGCACCCAGCCCTCCTCCTCTGACGCGGAGCAACACGGCGAGTCGTTTCATCAAGACCTTGTCTAAACTCAATCTGTACGGGAGCCCGCAGGCAGGCGAAGGGGCCGGCAGCCCTGCCGCCTCACCAGTCGAGAAGGGGAAAGCCGAAAGTGGGGCTGAAGAAGCGGAGGCGAAAAATGAGCCCAAAACTCCAAAACACTTCAAAGCTTCTCTGCTGGCTACGGTAAAAGAGGAGACGCCAAGCAACCAGTCCACTGCGGCTGAGGGTCTCAATGCTTCGGGAATTTCTTCTGGTGTGAATGCAAAGCAAGGAGATGGTACTGTGCCTCCTGAAACCAAGGACTCGGTTGATTATTCAGATGAAAAAGCTGCTGCTACAACATCCAGTAGTATCGAGACTGATGCGCTAGCACCAGCCACTTCTGGGCTCAAAGTTAACGCCGAACTGCAAATAACTCCTGCTCCCGTGTTGGATAAACAGCCCTGTGCTTCAATAGCCAACCCATCCATTGCCAATCTCATGTTGCAGCAGAAGGACTCGTTTGAGATGGAAGAGGTAAGTGGAAAGGCATTTGTTTGGGCTATGTGCAAAGTCCTCCTTGGTCTCCTATGCTAGGGCTGGGCGAAATATCAATATATCATCCAAAATCGGATTGAAGTCCATATCGTGATACTGGTTTCGTAATTTTTGACCTGACAATGTGTCATGGATTGTGGTGTGTGTGTGCTGTGCAAAAATCACAAGGTGGGAAAAACCGTAAAGCCAGCCAGTGCTTCTCTCGATTCCTGCAGCCCATGTTAACTCTGCCGACTCGGCTCTCCCCTGCCTCCTGCAGGGGGGCAGCGAATCACAAGAGCAGGTGCCGGCAAAAATCATGATGTGGGAAAAACCGTGAAGCCGGCCAATGCCTCCACATAGCTCCATCCTCATTTGAGACATCGTGATATATCAGCATACAGTGGTACCGCAGGTTACATATGCTTCAGGTTACAGACTCCGCTAACCCGGAAATAGTGCTTCAGGTTAAGAACTTTGCTTCAGGATGAGAACAGAAATCGGGTTCCGGCAGCGCGGCGGCAGCAGGAGGCCCCATTAGATAAAGTGGTGCTTCAGGTTAAGAACAGTTTCAGGTTAAGTACGGACCTCCGGAACGAATTAAGTACTTAACCCGAGGTACCCCTGTACTGCAATGTTTAGCTGGTGATACTTCACAATCTTGAAAACTGGATATCGCCCAGCCTTACCCAGTTTTGTATGCTCCTTTGATCTAGAGGTAGCATATAGCCATCGTGACTACTAGGAAGCATCAGCGAGCTTAAGTACAGCTGATGTGCTGAAATGATGACAAATTCTTGCTAAATAAACATCTGCATTCTGGTTAGAAGTGTTTAAGTCCACAGGAGTGGGAAATCCAGCTTTTCCCAACAGGAATGAGGCAATTCCCTTTTAAAAAAATTATTTGTGTTTCTAAAAATGCATATGAAACAATGAGTGTGTGCTGGGAGTGCCCAGCGGCCTTCTGGTCTGCATTGCTTTGGCATGTTTTCATCAGGCATCGCATGGCAAGCTTACATTCCTGCAGGTTTTTCCGTGCTATCCTGGGGCTCCTTTAGGAAGTCTGTTGCTGTCAAGATAGCCAGTGTGGGAGTGAGTCAAGGCAAAGTTTCCTCGGGAGCCCTGGCCTCTGCCCTCTCAGCCAATCACGATTCTCTCAAGTCTATGTCCCATATTGATATTGGCTAAGGAGGCGCAGAGGGGTGGATTGGGCGGCGGCTGCAAGTTTGCAGGGTACAAATGCTGGCGGGGCTTTGATCCTGGGGTCCAGGCAAGGGCGGGTGATGACAAATGATCTGGTCCTTCCCCCTCCAAAAATGCCACCAGGAAAAAATAGAAAGGTGGGAACACAAGAAGCTTAAGTGTACCCAACCGGGAGCAAGTAGACCAAGGCAACGCCTCCGAAAAGCCAGACCGTAGCAGAAAGGCTTGTGAGATGAGCTTTTTCAATATGTATTTGATTCTGTAGGAAACTGCATTAAGCTGTTTTGCGTGTGTGCATGTGCATGTGTGGTGTTGTGGTGGTTTTTTTAAAAAAAAAATGTCATTGAAGTAAACCTGTCACTAACACAGTGTAAATTCTGATACTAGTGCTAGACAATGATATGAAGCATATTATATCCCTGGGAATTTTCAGTGCAGCTACAGTCGGAGAGGCTTTCTTCCAGGGTTGCAAATCTTGGATGTCCAGCTTCTTCAAGTGACTTTCTTTAGAAGATTCAGGAATGAGTTTGTTTTTGCGAAGAGGTTTCTAACCTTCATTTTGTTTGCAAAGAGGGGCTTTAAAAAGAGGCACTGCTTTGTGTGGCTGCTGAAACTGCAAGGCTCTGGGAATGGGGAAGGACTTCTAATATTGAGGGTGAACTAAATTCACTCACCTGGGTCTTGCCTGTCCGCAGAGAGCTTTCTGCTCTCTACTTGCTCTAGTCGCACCTTGCGTTTCCCGACTATTCTAGCATTTTACCATGAGCCCCGGTGGCACTGATTTAAATCCACCACGGCTGCTTCTGATGCACACTGAGATTTATATAGAATTCTGTTGTTGTTTTTAATTAGATGGGGTGGCAGGACTCAGGGCCATACTGTGAACTTGGCTCTGATCACGGTGAAGTTGAAAAAGTGGCTGGATCTGGTTATTGGCTTGCAATGCAATGTATATTTCAAAAAGTGAAAATCCGGACACAAAAGTTTGTTGAGCCTTTTTGGGCAAAGTTGTTGAAGTTTTCTGCTATTTTTAAGGAGATTTGCTGAAAAATCGACACTTCTGGCATGGGTTGCCATACGCCCGGGTTTTTACTGCTTTTCAAAAATTCCACCCGGACGTTATTTTTGATGGACATATCCCAGATATGTCTGGGAAATCCCAGACTTATGGCAGCCCTATGCAACAGTGTGCCTTGGCAAAGAAGTGGTGGTCAATTATGAAGACGAGTAGAATTTTGAGACTCGTTTGTGCAGCAGCTTTCTCTTTCTGCATTCCTTGTCCATCTGTCTAGATGTTCTAGTCCAGCCTGGTGTTTTCCAGATGATTTGAACTATAGCTCCGATCATCCCTGGCCATGCTTGCTGAAGATGACTGGAGCTATGATTCAGGCATTTTGGGGGGTGGGGAGGTTGCTGGGTTGGGGGAGTCTGTTCTCATCCAGGCTGCCGTATAACCACAAGAGAGTTCCTGTTACGCTGTGAGATTACATGATTAAAGGCTGTTGCAAGCCCAAATCTCCCATTCCCAGAAGAGGTTTGTGTCTTGTTCCAAGCCAGTTCTGCTGCCTCTGTGTGCAGTTCCTCAGAATAACTGCTCGTAAGAGGCTGCCTGGTGCAGCTCTGCATGAAGCTCACAGCAGTATTTGCATAGGTCACTATTGCACTTTCATAAGCCTTCTTCAGACATTACTATTATGCTATTATTATTATTATCCTATTAAGGAAACATGGGACGTGGGTGGCGCTGTGGGTTAAACCACAGAGCCTAGGACTTGCCGATCAGAAGGTCAGCGGTTCGAATCCCCGCAACGGGGTGAGCTCCCGTGGCTCGGTCCCTGCTCCTGCCAACCTAGCAGTTCGAAAGCATGTCAAAGTGCAAGTAGATAAATAGGTACCGCTCTGGCGGGAAGGTAAACGGCATTTCCGTGCACTGCTCTGGTTCGCCAGAAGCGGCTTAGTCATGCCGTCCACATGACCCGGAAGCTGTATGCCGGCTCCCTCGGCCAATAAAGCGAGATGAACGCTACAACCCCAGAGTTGGTCACGATTGAACCTAATGGTCAGGCGTTCCTTTTACCTAATAAAACATGTGAGAGGCACGGAAGTGGGGAACCAAGCATGCCAGCTCTGCTCCCTCCTTCTCATCTTCATCCCTCGTCTTCTTTTCACTGACTCATAGAGTTGGCAGTGACTCTGAGGATCATCTAGTCTGGGGTTTCCTCAACTTGTGTCTCCAGCTGTTTTTGGATTACAGTTCCAGTCATCCCTAGCTGGTCAGGGATGATGGGAGCTGTTGCCCAGCAACATAAAGAGAACCACAGGTCTCCCATCCCAGGCTAAGCCTTTGTAAGGTTCTAAGCACCTACATCAAAGTTCCCTCTGGCATAGACTCTTGTTTAGGATGAGGATTAGACAAGGGCAGTCAACAGAAGTGGCCATACTAGGATTTCTAGAAGGAAGCTGAACTATTTTGTGTGTGTGTGTGTGTGTGTGTGTGTCTGTGTGCCTGTGAAATCCATGTGTATTGTGAATCAAGGGATCAATTAGCCTCATTATAGAAAGGAACAGGGAAGAGAAAAATTAGGGTTTTAGCTAAACTGTGGTCATCTTGGTGGCATTCATTTCCTATTCATTGTGTGTGTGTTTCTTGTGGTACTGTAGTTTTAGACTCTAAACTGTCTTGGAGACCACTGATGGAAAGGGAAAGGTATACATAGAATCATACAGTTGGTTGGGACCCTGAGGATCATCTAGTCCAACTCCCTGCAATGCAGGAATATGCAGCTCTTATTGATAATAATAATAAATAAACAAATAAACAAATAACCACTACCGAGAAGTGCACCATGCTGTAACCAACTGAGCTATCCATGTGGATCATCTTTATTTCATTTCTTTTCAAATATCTGCATGTATCTCTGCTGGAAAATTTGAGCTCTCCTACTCATAACAGCATCATCTCTGACATCACAGCCTCTATGTTGTCCAACTTTAACATCATACTGAACTGTTACAGTAAAGCCATTCTTTGAGGACTTTGCCATTTCAAGCATTTTCCCACGTGGTTCGGGCCCGAATAAGTGCTTTCAGGCTGAATCTATTTGGGACATGTTTCTTCTTTTCACCTTCAAGATAGACATGGCAAATAGAGGCCAAATCCCTGTGTCAGGGCTGGTGCCAGCATGTGGAATGCTCAGGCAGCTTCCAGTCAGGATTCAGGGCCCTGGAAGAGACCCACCCAGCTATATTTGAGTTGGGGTCTTCCTGCCATGTTCTGCCAGGGCACGGTGAAAAAGTCAAAATGGCAGGTGCCCATCACAGATTTCAGTGGCATTACTACTGTCTTCTGCCACCATGGCAAACCCACAGAATTGGTGAGGACCTGCACCAGAACTGTGGGTTCACTAAATGGCACAGATGGGGGCACATCTGGAATTTGTCTTGTGTGTTGTGCTGGTGCAGTGCTGTAGGATTCAAGATGTCTTTCCCTTTAGCCTTCCAGGGGTGTGGGGTGGGGAGAGGGAATGACACAACAAAATGCATACATAAATCCCCCATTTTGTTTCCTTGGACAAAGCTCAAACAGTTTTCTTTCAATAGCATTTAATCCATTCTTTTTAAGCTGTGATAACAGGGACACAATGCCTCAGCTTGATATTTTGAAAATACGCTGGTTTCCTAAAAGGAAGTCCTTTGATATTGGATGTTTCTATTTTAATAAACCTGTATTAAGTCAGAGTTTGTTGTGTGAGAAAAGAGAAAGCAAGCAGTTTTATCACCAAAGAACATCTTGGAATTGAGGAAATGTCTGAAAGTTGGTCAGTTGTGAAATGTGGAGACTGGCCACTTGAGAAGGGAGAGAACAAGTCTAGCTGCCTTCACTTAGATGGATTCTTACTTAAACAAGTTGGCATAAATATTTGCAGTTCTTAATACCAGCCTTAGTAATTTAAAGATCACACTTTGTTTTATAGGCAGCATCACTTTGGGGAACGTGACTGGAGACGATTGTGTGACACAGAGGTTATTGCAATGGGCACAGTTACTTTATTGCCCTGCTCACTTGAGGGAATGCCACTCTGAATGACCGAATATTACATAAAATGATGGCTGGTGAATAAAATGATGTTGCGGCTTGAAGCACTGATTCAGATATGTTTAAATAACAAGTTTGTTAGTGGCAAAAAATTATACAGGCTACCCAAACCCATGTTGACCATAAACTCAAATTTGGGGATTTGGAAGTTGTGGGGAATCCACCCACTTCTGGAAAAATCCAGAATCTTCTGCCAGGTAATAGTAATTGGTATTAAACCTTTTCATATGAATATTATCAAAGCTATGTTCCAGAATATGAAGGTTCTTCTCTCACAGACTAAACGTGTTACAATATTCAGGGTTTGCTACCTTTAGGTGAAATGTAACAGAAGAAAGTTTTGTATTTGTAGCTTGTCTACAGTTTGCATATAACCTCTGTAATTTAAGGAATGGCTATTTATAGTTTGCTGTGTCCTGGATTTCAGAGTTCTTTTTTAACAATGAAGAGATGTTTTTGTGTTTCGGTAGCGCTGTTGCTAAGCTGCAATCTTATATGTGCTTAAATGGGAGTAAGTACAGCTGAATTCAGTAGTGCTTATTTCTTGAGCAGACACAGATAAGATTACACTCTTAAGGCGCCTTTGCAGGCCACTCAGATACGTAGTTTTCTTGCAAACACATGCATAGAGTAACCTTTGCCATCATAATGGGTCTAGACGAAACTAAATACAGTTTTTCTGGCAAGCAATGAGCAGATTTCGACTGAGAGGGTGTGATAGCCTTTTTTAAAAAAGTTTATTCTTGATGGGGCCCCCTCCCTCCCAAGAGTCTGGGATTGAGTAGTTCAGAGAAAATTGCTAGAATGAACAATGTATATGCAAACTTGGGGATAGCAGATGGTTTTGGCATGGATTCTAATTGTTTGGACAAGACTCTCAGTTAATTTTACATCATCTAATTGGCACCTGCTACTTCTAGTATTGCTTTTGGCAAAATGTTAACATGGAGTAAAGCTTCAGACACTGTACATGCATACACATACATACATACATACATACATGTCTTTCCACAGTTTAAACCATGATCAAGGCTGTTTACAACATGTAAATATATATACAACAAAAGTAGTTGTAAACAAATAAATAAAACATTACAAATACGCAACCAAACCAAACAATTTCCACATAAATCACAATAAGACCCAAAATAAAAATGCAAAACGCCTCCCCACCCCCACCCCGCAACAGCACCCCAGCCCAAGAGTCTGTTCAGCAGCCTCAGCTTTTGTAGTTGGAGTCAGTCCTTCCCAGGCCAAGTGGAAAAGGCCCACAAGGCAGGGAGCAGGTCTTCCTGGGCTCACAGCCAAGATGGTCTCTGGTCTCTTCAGCAGCCTCAGCTTTTGGAGACCAGAACAGGCAATTTCATGTGGGTGGCAAAGAGAGGGAGAAACAGAGGGGAAAGGGAGGGTTAAAGAGAAAGAAAAGCCCAGCTACTTTTGACTGTGGCTCCACTGACTTATCAGTATGTGGCTCCTGACAAAGTAACACTGAGAGAACATGGCCCTTGAAAAGTAAACATTTGCCTATCCTTGCTATAGCGTAGCCACTAGTCTCCATTTTGCATTGCTTTGGATTGGGTGCTTTTAGTTTGACACTCTAGATGGAATGAGGCTGACACTCAGTGTGTCGTTCCTAGTCACACTCTTGAATATCCTATTCTTATATGAATTAAACAAGAATTGTGATGTATACCACATTGGTGATGATACGCATCTCCCAATCAGTTGAGCACATTAATAATCTTATCGCAATCGAGGCAATTGCCACTGTGTGTGGGGTGATTAGATTAGCTTGTGGGATGTCTTCCTTCCTTGTTTGGGTTGGGGAGGATGTGTTTGCTTAAAGGCATAATTATTCCCTCAGTTGCCACACCAAAAAGTTGGCAGCTGTGTTGTAGCTGGTTACAAGGCTTTCTCCAAACAATGGCTAGCAATAACTCACTAGAACTAGGGGAATTTAAACAGAGGTGACTGCAGTCTCATCCTACCTTGGGGCAAAGCTAACTTCACCTGCAAAACCTGTTGAATGCTAATAAATAGTAGTCACGTTCATCTTTTAGATTGATTGCAACTGGTGGTGTGGTTTCTTTTTTACTTAATTTTGAAATTTTAATTTGATTCTTACATCCGGGATGGTTTTATATATAATTTTATTGATGAGGTGGCTCTCTTGCTTTGTGCAACAAGAAAAGAGACATTTCCTCCCTTGAACAAAACCTTTCCTGTCTAGTTTCTCTTTGTTGCTGGGCGGTGGGAAGTTGCATGAGAACTGCTTATTTAGCAATTAATTTAGAGCAGCTTTCATGCTGTTTAAACAAAGGAGCTGCTTTGTGCTACATCTCCCCATTCCTGCTAGCAGGCCAGCCTGCCTTGCAACATAGTCTCTGACACTAAATAGAACTTTATAGAGGGAAATGTGAGCTGTGAAACCTGTAGTGCTGCCTATTTAAATGTTTTGGGTGAATCTACTGGCCAGATTAGTCATGATTTGACCGCTGACATTGGATGGTGTTTTGAGGTGATGTCAGGCCTTGTCTGTGGTGTTAATTACTTTGGTAATAAACCTACCATGTGGTGTTATAGAATCATAAAACCATAGAGCTGGAAGGGAACCTCAGGATCATCTAGTCAGTGTTTCCCAAACTTGGGTCTCCCGCTGTTTTTGGACTACACCTCCCATCATCCTTAGCTAGCAGGACTAGCAGTCAGGGATCATGGGAATCAGTGTTAGAAACTGAGATATGAAAGCTGGGAGCTAAATGGCACCTTAAACCTAGGTTATGGGCACAACAACAGAATGTCTAGGTGTGCTTTTTTATAACAAAAATAAAAAGCTGAAAATGAATGAACTGCAGCTAAAATATTATGTTTGTTTTTCACGTGGTCTCGTCTTTCCCATGCCCACCCCCCTAATATTCTTAAGAGGGTCTCTTCTCCAGTCGTCAGAGAGTAGCTGGTAGTGGGGAGGGAGAGAAAGGTCCTCCTTTCCTTCCACTCTGCAGTTGTAATCTGAATTCTCAGGCACAGTACTGAGCCCAGAGCTCAGAAACTGCTCACACTAATGAAATTCCCTGTCGCAAAATGCGCCTAGAACAATGGGAGTTTTGAACACTGATGGGAACTGTAGTCCAAAAACAGCTGGAGACCCGCATTTGGGAAACACTGATCTAGTACAACCCCCTGCAGTGCAGGAATATGAAGTTGTCACATATGGGGATCAAACCTGCAGACTTGGCATGGTTAGCACTATGCTCTAACCCAGTGTTTCTCAACTTGTGGGTCCCCAGATGTTGTTGAACTACAACTCCCATCATTCCTAGCCAACATGACCAGTGGTCAGGGATGATGGGAGTTGTAGTCTAACAACATCTGGGGACCCACAGGTTGAGAACCGCTGCAACCCATGGGTAGGCAAACTAAGGCCCAGGGGCCGGATCCAGCCGAATCGCCTTCTCAATCCAGCCCACGACTGGTCCGGGAATCAGCGTGTTTTTACATGAGTAGAATGTGTCCTTTTATTTAAAATGCATCTCTGGGTTATTTGTGGGGCATAGGAATTTGTTCATTTTTTTCCCCTTTTCAAAATATAGTTCGCCCCGCCCCCACAAGGTCTAAGGGACAGTGGACTGAACTGAGCTATGTACCTGTACAAATAATATTAAAAAGTCTACATACGGAATTGTATCAAGGGGAGATTAGTTAGGATCTGCTAAAATCCTAAAGCAATGGGATAGTTTTCAGCTTTCACAGAACTGTTCTGAGGATCAGTATTAACGTGGTTTGGACTGGGGGAGAGAGAGAGAAGGAGGTAGCTTGCAGACTTAGAGGCATGGTAGAAACCTCTGAAACATGTTAGTGGTTTTAAGATCAGAAGATTTGCCGCTGGGGCCTCTACAACGCCCTTCACGAACAGTGTCTCCCTCCACCCTTTTAAACACAGCGTTTGGGGAAGACTTTAGTGAAATTCACAAGCTAGCTGTCATTAACTTTATTATTTTTGTTTGGTCTAAATAATGATATTGTGTTACTGCATCAATAAACCAGCACAGCTACCTGTTGTTGTTGTTGTTTGTTTGTTTTGTTTTTAAACATTCTTGCCTAAAAATGAAAAGCTCTTTTGGAGATGATTGTGTTTTCTATACAACATTTCTCTTTTTTTAAAAAAAACCCAAAACCTTCATTGCCCCTGGAATACTGATATGGTGTCTTTTTATTCCACATATATCGTGTTCTGCATGTTCCAGCTTAAGTACTTATTTTCTGCTGCAGGAAGTCTGAAAGGGATATACTAGTGATAAACAGCAATGAATGTTTACTTTGGATTGCCAAATTTGATTGCGTTGGATTGTGAATCAGCTAAGTAGCTAGTTATGTTGATCAGTGGGCATAACTGTCTGTTGGGCATGACTCAAAAAATGCTTTGATTTTATTCCTACTGCAGATTCAAAGTACAGAAGGAGAGATTCCACATGCTCTTAACATGAGCCAGCTGGCTTTAGCCAAAACTAAAAAAGGTGAGTAGGTTTCTCTCCTCTTTCTTTTTGGCCCCCTCTGAAATGGCTCTGGCACAGCCCCATTTATTTCTGACAGTGCCCATTGACATGTTGATGCAAGTACTTGGGAGCTTCTTAAATTGCAGCCCACCCAAAAGATCCTTGTCTGCTTCTCTGCCAGCTTTCAAATCATAGTGTTCTCCTTGTGAAGTGGCACTTCAAATGAGAGAGGATGAATCACGTTTCTAACCTCAATGAATGGTTCTGCTTCTCTGTGTCGGAGAAACTGAAAGGTTGTGTTTTGCTTTGTTTTTTTATAACGGAGCCCTGTCATTTGAAATGACAATTTTAAACCTTAAAATTACAAACTCTTTCAACCTGAATTGTGTGGTACATGCAGCATTTTACTGCCCTTCAGACTGCTGACTGTACAGAAGCCTCGTACTTTTGACCGCACAGATTGTCTTCCACTGCAGTCCTCTGCACATGTTAAGTTCCACTGTTTCCAAGGGGGATTCTTCCCTAGTAAGTCTGTTTTCAGGGTGCAGTATTTATTCCCCTCTTTCTCTGCCACTAAGGGATGTGGGTGGCGCTGTGGGTTAAACTACAGAGCCTAGGACTTGCCGATCAGAAGGTTGGCGGTTCGAATCCCCACGACGAGGTGAGCTCCCATTGCTCGGTCCCTGCTCCTGCCAACCTAGCAGTTCGAAAGCACGCAGTGCAAGTAGATAAATAGTTACCGCTCAGGCGGGAAGATAAATGGCGTTTCCGTGTGCTGCTCTGGTTCGCCAGAAGCGGCTTAGTCATGCTGGCCACATGACCCGGAAGCTGTACGCCGGCTCCCTCGGCCAATAAAGTGAGATGAGCGCCACAACCCCAGAGTCGGTCACGACTGGACCTAATGGTCAGGGGTCCCTTTACCTTTACCTTCTCTGCCAATATATGGGCAATGCTATTGCCCAAAGGATGAAAGCAAGGGCAGTGTAGGATTCCCAGCCTGCACTATACAGCTGATGGACATGAAGAAATCCCAGAATGCATCACAGGAAAGCACCATTTGATTCCTGAGCCTTGTCTGAGCAAGGAAAAGGGGTGGGATCCTGGGAGGCCAAATTAACTGGGTTATTGTGCAGTGTAGCAAAGATATCTGCCCACCATTCAGGGAACTGATCAAGAAAATGCATTGTTCATTGCATGCATGTAACTTTTGAATGTACTTTAGAAGTTGCTATGCAATATAAATAAAATAGACATATAGAGTGAATTGTGCTTCCAGTTTCAATACAGAAAACATTTTGCTACTGATCTCAAAAGTTTTGGGGAAAAAACACTGATGCCATGTGCATGTGCAGCTGACAATAGAATTTAGGTACATACATGCTTGTGTGAGTGTGCGCACTTTGAGTTGAGAGCCCTATGCTCCTGTTTAGTAATAAATCAGCTTGTTATCAGACCTAGGTTTTGTTTATTAATTCTCCGAGTCCTTAAGTCCTTCAACCTTGGTTCAGGCTCACATGAAAGCATTGCAAGATGTTATCTCACTTCCATGAACCTGTTTTCCACTGCCTGTTTCCAAAGCCCGTTAATAACAAAACAGGAGTCCAGATGCACCTTTCATATTTGTAGCTTGTGACTCTTAAATGGCTGCTTTGATACCCATACCAGTGTTATGCTCTTCAGCACAGAATGTTATGCACTTGTAATACATTTTGGGTGGCATTGTGCCTCCAAGGAGAAGGTCACTGTTGCTTTTTGTAACTTACTGCGGTCTGAAAAACATGTTTAGCAGGCAAGCAGTAAAACGTACAATATCTGATTGTTTTTATAATCTTTGTCTTTTTTTTTTTTTACAAGCATGGGGGCAACCCATTCTTAGGATTTTTATGTTAAACACTGCTACATTTTACAACTACTGTGCCATGCACAAATGCAAGCTTTTAAAAAAATGTCACTGCCCTCTTTATGAATTGTGCTTAAAAAGAAAAAAGCTTAATGTAATCATTTTTCATAATCTTCTGTTGGCTGAAAAAACAATATTGCAGAACAATCTTCCTGTACGTATGATATGATGTACTTTTTAGGTAATGCATTTTACCCAAATGAGTTTATCTGGTGTGTTCAGCACCGGCATTTGTTATTACGTAACCCGAATGGAGATATGCTTTGCTTTCTGGATTTCTTTCCTATGACTGGAACAAAAAGATACCTTTGCTCTGCACTATAAAAATGAAAGTGCTGCTGAAATGTCCAGCGTGTGCAATGCTAGTTAATTGGAGGAAGCTCATTTCAGGGAAGGCACCACTTTCCTGCCCCTCACCCCTTTCTTCTGTGATGGCTTGACCTTGGAGCAACATGAGTATTAGGGGGGGCTAGTGTGCCAGTGTTGGAGTAAGGTAGTGATGGCCAAACTTGGCCCTCCAGCTGTTTTGGGACTACAACTCCCATCATCCCTAGCTAACAGGACCAGTGGTCAGGGTTGATGGGAATTGTAGTCCCAAAACAGCTGGAAGGCCAAGTTTGGCCATCACTGGAGTAAGGCTTCAGAGATCAAGGTTTAAATCCCCTCTTGGCCACGAAGCTCACTAGGTGACCATGGGCCAGTGTTGCTGCATTTCAGTCTAACCTACCTCACAGAGTTGTCGTAGGGATAAAATGGTTGGGGGGAACCGTGAGCACGACGCTGAAGAAGAGGGTGGGTTTAACAAACCTGTAAGTAACAGTTGATTTGTTCTTTCTGGAACCCCAGCTCTCAAGTCTCTGGCAGATTGAGAGAGAAGTTGAACACCCAAGTGTCTTGAAAGCTCAGAAGTCAAATGCAATCATATGAACTTGCCTTATACTGAATCCAGCCGTCCTGTGATAAGACATTTGCCCAGCATCACCTATTTTATATAGCCATTTAAAGGGTTTATGTTGATATTACTAACAAAATACAATAAATAAAATTGTAATTTTTATTTTTTTAAAAAAAATTCCTTCCAGTATTACCTTAGAGATCAACTAAGTTAGTTATTGGTATTAGCTTTCGACACTATAGCACATACCAATAGCTAACTTAGTTGGTCTCTAAGGTGCTACTGGAAGGAATTTATTTATTTTATTTTAGTTATTTTATTTTGTTTCGACTACGGCAGACCAACACGGCTACCTACCTGTTAATATTACTAGTACTGCTTCTACATTTGTATCTTGCCTTGCCACTAATTTGCTCAAGGTCATGGTATATGTGGTTCTCCCCTCCTCATCTCATTATCACAACAACCCTCTGAGGTATGTTTGGCTGAGAGATGGGGACTGGTCGATGGTCACCAAATGAGCCCATGACTGGATGGGGATATGAACCCTTGTCTCCCAAGTCCTAACCATACACTACATTGGGTTTCTACTATACCAGTATTCAGCTTCTGGGATGGATTTACAAGTGTTTTTCAGCTGAGGAGATCAAAGTTTTGCGTGTGTCCACTGGAAATGTGAAATAATTCATTGCCACAATTTGTTGTTGTTGTTGTTGACCATTATTTCAGTTTTGCAGGAGGTGTTGCTTCTTTATTTTTAGCAGTTGCTTCCTGTTTGGGGAGGTAGTTAATACAAAAGTTACAGATATGTGTGCAGACTTCAGTACACAAACAGGTCAATACGCAGGGCCAGCAGTTCTTCATGGCCTAGATATCTGAGAACCTCTCAGCTAGAGGATGCCATCAGAGTTGACCCTACTAACCAGCAGATACTGGGGTGCAGCAGTAGCAACCCGCCACTCTTTCCTCCTGAGCCCACCAGCTGCTCCCCTCTGCTTCCCTGAGGTGTTTTGGAAGACAGTGTCTATATGGTTGTCAACTTTATATAGCTCTCTTTAGTTGAGCAGTGGAGAAGAGCCAACTTGCCAAAAGCCTTACATACAAAGATGAGGGACCTGTGGCCCTCCAGCTCCCATCAGCCTCAGCCATCAATTAGGGATGATGGACTCTGGATTCCACCAACACCTGGAGGCCAAGGGTTTCCTCAGGGGATGAAACAAATTGCAAATGAAGACCCTGCTCCTGCACCGCTAACCAAGTTAAGGGTCAAGTAGGACATTGCTATGCTGTTAACTCGCTCCTGTTTTTCTGGTTTCAGGTTTAGATCTGAGTCTGCAGAATGCAAAATTGACTAAGGCGTAACAGGTTCAAGCCAGTTTGTTTAGTGGATAGGAATGTATGATAAGAATTATTACAAAGGGGAATTTGCTGATGTGAATTTGTTGGATTGAGTTTCAGCGTGTTTTTGAGTTCGTGTGCCCTTTAAAGCAGCCAATAAGAGCATTTCTCTCTCTTTTGAAAATGTTTTGACTATTTGTTTCTGAACGTTGCTCACACTGGGCCTTCAGGTATAAAGCAGGTATTAATTTTACTGTTCGTAATGCTTTTTTAAAAATTATTTGGTGGTTCACAAAGGCCAACCTAATAAAAACTTGCAATTACTACTTTGCAAGGCCACCATCTATTACTCAGTGGTCCGAAAATTTCACTGCCCTTTCTACATTTTGAGCACAGGGCTTATAATAATCAATCTCATTTAGATACTTATTCAGACGTATGGACTGCTTATATTAATCTATATGTTTAAATTGAGGCTGGTGGAAAAAATATTTTAAATGTCCCCCTTCTCCTTTTCTTTTTGTTATATCTGCAAATAAACATTCTAAAAATTAAAAAATGAACACCACTAAATACTTTTGTCACCCTTGTCTATTGTGGAGGAGCCATAGCTTGACGATAAGGCATATCTTTTGTGAGTTGAGTTCCCAAGTCCAGTCACTTGCAGGCGTTGCCAATTTAAAACACCTTCTAACAGGAGAGCCGATTCAGTTGGAAAGCTTGCCCCTAAAAGTAGCCGCTGCTCTGAATGACGTTTGTGTGAAGTCATCAAATTATTAACACTCATGAGCAGCAAGTTGAACCCCCTTCAAATGTTAAAAGGCTTTCTTGACTTAATCTGCTCTGTAAGACTCTTGAGAGCTCCTGATGGATTAATTGTTATTATTTCTTTCATGTGCAACTTTGTAAGAAATGTACTGACTGTCAGCTCCACGGAACCTTTAAAAACCTTTCATCAACCTTTTAAGAAACTGCACTGCTCCGTTTTTCAGCCATTCCTTATAAATTATACAGTTTCTTAAAGCGATTTAGGTGGGGAGGGGAAAAGAGGAGTTTCAGTTGGATCCTGCCAAAATGTTTACTCTAGCTGTGCACTTTAATTCCCCATAGAATCCTGAGATTGTAAAATGCCTCTTTGTGGCTTATTTTATTTATAACAGAACTTTGTGAAATGTGTAAAGGTCTGCCCCGTGCAGGACACAGTCTGCCTGCAAGGACACCTACTAAATCCAGCAACATCCATTGACGCAGTTATATGTGACTATTGCCAGCATCTGAATGTAGGAGGCTTGCCTATATCAAGTCAGACCATCCATCTAGCTCATTATTGTCTTTACCATTGTTTCTCAAACTTGATGTTATTGGACCACAACTCCCACCACCCCTGACCACTGGCCCTGCTAGTTAGGGATGATGGGGGTTGTAGTCCAACAACAGCTGGAGACTCAAGTTTGAGAAACACTGGTCTATACTAACTCTCAATGGCTCTCCAGGGTTTTGGGCAGGAGTCTTTACCAGCCTTACCTGGAGATGCCAGGGGTTAAATCTGAGGGTTTTTTGCATGCAAAGCAGATGCTACAGCACTTTCCCAAGGAAGGATGCTGCGCTTCCTTGGATTTCTGTGATGTGCTCCGCTGCATCCAGATGTAATTGGGCATTTGCATGTTAAATGCCAGTCTGCACTAAGTAGGTAGTGGTACTTGGCATACTGCCTCCTTGATGGCTGAAGCTCTACGTAAGCTAACAGATGGTTGGGAGCATGGCAGCCTGCACTGAATGCAGTGTGTCTAGCAGTTTTAAAAACAATGAAAGTTTTCCTTAGTTTTGCAAGAGGAATTTCAGTTTGGGACGCCTGTCTACAGACCAGTAGTTTTGCTAGGGCTGCCATACGTCTGGACACATCTGGGAATTTTTCCTGGACCCATCTGGGAATTGGGTGTCAAAAATGGCATCCGGGCAGATTTTTGCTGTATCAGCAAAATGTCCGGGAAAACTCAGATATATGGCAAGTAGGGTGATTTTTTAAAAAAAGCTTTAAAAATTATCTCCAAAACCCCAACTTGTTTGGGATTTTCACTTTTGGGAATATGGCAACTCTCGTTTTGCTGACTGTTTTTGCTGTTTTGTTTTGCAGGATTTGATATATGTGTTTTTAAACAGCATTTTATTGTTTGTTATGATTGTGATATCTTCTATCGTGTTTAGTTGCCCCATGCTCCCATTGGGAGGAAAAGTACAAGGAAATAAATACAAAAGCCAATCTCAACATTATGTTATATACACCAGAATGACTTAAGAACATGGAGTCCGGGGGGGGGGGCGGGCTGCACAGATAATGTTCTTAATGGTTAGAGTCACTCGTGGGCAAGAAGCAGGTTTAATTCATCATTTTAGCAGGATATTTGGACTGCTTTATTTATTTGTCTGCTGAATTCAATTTTAAGATGTGTCCAGTTTTGAAAGACACTTGACCTGGCACACAAATCTGCAAATGACTTAAGTCGGCCTGTTTAAACTGAGCAAGTCACACTGAAGCCAATGGAAATACAGTAAATCAGCAGAAATCCATAAGCTCTTCCTACTAGACCACGTTAGCACCACTTGTGTTGTACCAAGCTGAAAGCAGCTACTAGCCATGTATATTGCACCTGCCCAATGTTTGGCAGTCCCTGCTTCTACATCCCAGACAGCAAACATTGGTTGACTTGCTGATGGGAGACCCCATGTGGCTGGTTGACTTTGTTGGCTTCATAGGTCACAAATAGTGTAGACCTGTGCATGGATCAGAATTTTCTAAGTCTCTACAGGCTATAACTGGAGAGTTACTGCTTTTCCAGGAAGGAAGGGGAGGGGGGAACCCAGAGGGTTATTAGTGTCTCCCTAAACTATACAATGCCTGTCCTGGAATTCACACGAAAGATGGCTCCTCTCATACTACCGGTAGAAATTCTTTGAGTTCTTGTTCTGGCAGTGTGATTTGGGCAAATGGTTTCAAATCACAACCTTCGGGATGGAACAGGCCAAACATTGCAGTTCTGCTCTTCGTAACTAAATGCAGATTTGTGTCTGTGTTGGTTCACTAGATCTGCTGCAGACAAGTTTGTTTGAACCTCTTGGTTTCTCTCGCTTTCGCAGACCAGCTCTTACGATCGGCAAGTCAGCATTCTGACAGCAGTGGTTTTGCTGAGGATTCTTCCACAGACTGCTTCTTGCTGAATCAGTTGCAGGTACAAACCTTATTTTTTACCAAAAAACGCCAATGCGTACATGTTTGGGGGGAGAGATATATAAAGTCCTAGGCATATTTTAAAGTTTTTTATTGGCTCTTGGAGACTGAGTAACAGTAATGTTACAGCCATGAAGCTTTCCTCATTTTACTGCCACCAGTCAGGGCTTTTCCTACAGCCGAAACTCGGCCGAACTCAGTTCCGGCCCCTCTCAGGTGGGCGCCATTGCCATTCTAAAGAGAACATGGGAGGTGTTCATGGTGAGTTCTGGCACCTTTTCTTCTAGAAAAATAGCACTGCCAGCAAAGCTGCTTATAGGGTTGCCGTATTTTGAAGAGCAAAAAAGAAGATGCTATGACCACTCTCATTTTCAATACCCCTACTATATGTAGGCTATAGAAGCTGTGATATATTGCTGTTCGGGGGGGGGGGGGGCAGGAGAAGAGAATAGAAAAGCCACCAGTTATGCCTATGTCTCATCCAGAAGGAATAGCCAGAGACATTTTGGCAAATTTAAAAAATCCACCTGGACATAAATTTTACTCCTGAGAAAGAGGACACATGGCAACCCTGTTTCACCATTTACAAAATTTTGTGTAAATCCTTACACAAATCTATTTGTTTCTTTTTGACTACATTTTTAAAATTATTTTTATCCTGATGCTACGCTGGTTATATGTAGGTGTACTTCTTTTACTGAGCATAAAACTTTCTAAGAATCGCTGCAAATGTATACTTCAGTCCTTGTTGCAAATGTATATTTTGGTCCTTGTTGCATGCATCAAGAAATGGAATCAGCCTGAAGATAAACTAAAAGTCCATGTTTTAGGCTTTGACCTGCTTATAAAATAAGTATTAGGGCTCATCTGCCTTGCAGGATAAAATCACATCGATGCGCAAGTCCCCTCCCCACAGTCGTTGGTGTTGATCTGGGCAAAAATATGGTATTTTGTAGGTATATGACTACGTTCACAAGCAGTAAAATGCTGTAATGTCATGAGTAACATTCTGCTTGTGTGAATGAAGGCATTGAAAGGCAGGAAACTTGTAATGTTAGCTTGAGCAAAGCAAGCTTTGCTTGTGCCATGAAGTTTTTAAAAGACTGCCTGTCCGGTCTCTTCCTGTGCACTTCCAGCCCTTTCTGCTGGCTTGAGCAACAAGCTTCTCTGTAAGAAATGGAAAGGGATCCAGACTGAATTGCCAAAGACGACTTACCTCAAAATATTATAAATTAGTGCCCTCTGCTGTTAAACAGATTTTTCTTTAAGGAGTAGAATAATGTTTGGTATTTTTCTTCTTCTTTTTTAAGTGGCAGAAAATATATTGTCCATGTTTATATCCTGCCTTTTCTCCAGTGAGCTCAAGGCAGCAAACCTGATTCTCTTTCCCTCCCCATTTTTTTTAAAAAAATACCTTTTTTATTTATTTTCATGGTACAGAAGATAAATTTTGAGAAAACGATTGTCACAACAGTAAACAACAAATAACTTGTCTGGATAAAATTACAGACTTTTGTCATGCCATCTGTTAAAGTTTCATTTGAGATCATGCCACATTTTCCCATGAGCACTGGGTAGATTCCTGGTGCAGTCTGAACAAGGTAGGTTAAGCTGGCTGGCCCAAGCTCACCCAGCACGGAGCTTCTTAGCTAGGTGCAGATTTGAACCTGGGTTTCATCTATCCTAAGGGACGCAGGTGGCGCTGTGGGTTAAACCACAGAGCCTAGGACTTGCTGATCAGAAGGTCGGCGGTTCAAATCCCCGTGACGGGGTGAGCTCCCTTTGCTCAGTCCCTGCTCCTGCCAACCTAGCAGTTCGAAAGCACGTCAAAGTGCAAGTAGATAAATAGGTACCACTCCAGCGGGAAGGTACACGGCATTTCTGTGCCCTGCTCTGGTTTGCAAGAAGCAGCTTAGTCATGCTGGCCACAGGACCCGGAAGCTGTACGCCGGCTCCCTCGGCCAATAAAGCGAGATGAGTGCCGCAACCCCAGAGTTGGTCACGACTGGACCTAATGGTCAGGGGTACCTTTACCTTTACCTTTACTTCATCTATCCTTATCTGACACTGTGATCATTACACCACACTGGACCTCACTGTGTTGTATATTAGAGAATTCAGTGGATTAAAGATCTGACCTACCGTCCAGTCTTTCTTTATTTTCTCATGAATGCTTATTTCTCCAATCCAGCTATCTTATGGACTCGTTTTGCTTTTTATTTTATTTTTTAAAAGTTATTTGCATAAAGGTACAAATGTTTTGGTATTTTTGTTGTCTCTTCACCACCCTGTTCTCATTGTGTTCCTGACAGGGACACGAGTCATTGCAGGCCATGGGAAGCAGCGCTGACAGCTGCGACAGTGAGACAACAGTGACATCTTACAGTGAAGAACTCAAAACGCCAATAGATGAGCAGTCCTATTTTAATGAGCTTGATGAGGAGAAATTCCTCCGTACAGAAGTGGAGCAGCAGAAGAGGGAGGCGGTTTCTGGGAGCGATGCCAGAGAAGGTCGGAAAGTTCTAGAAGGCGAAACTGGGCAGGCTGAGACCGGAGGAGATACAGAGTTTGGCCAAGGAGGATATATTAGAAAAGATGAAGATGCTCTTGCACAGGAGGGAGAGTCTGAAGTGCTGGAGGAAGGCAGTGAAGAGAGCGACGCAGATAAAAGCAGCGAGTACGAATTTCCTCAGTATAAAACGCACCACATTCTTAAATCAATGTCCTCTATAGAAAGCAGCAGTTCATCTCCTTCTTCCACTGAGCGGGTTAGCATTGCTTTGCAAAGAGCCCAGAGGAGGATAAGTGGCTCGTCTGATTCCAGAGCCGGTCGCTCGCTGCTCAAATCGAAAGACTTTCTTTTCAAGCAAAGGCATCGGATCTCTGAGTTGGACTATCCATTGAGGCGCTCCCAGTCTCTCCCATCTCCACTACTGAACCCGGTGAAAGTCGTCTCCTCCGTGAATGTCCAGCTCACTCCGGGAAAACAGACATTTTGTAGCCCCCCGTCTTTTACTTACAAGTACGATACTCCTGAACAGGAGGAGAAGGAGGAGCAGACGGAAGAGAAGCCCCCTGAGGAGAAAGACCACAGTCCCCCCAGGTGCAAATCCACACTTTTCATTGCACCATCATCCCTTAGGAAAGAGGGTTCCCAGCCTGCGTTGAACAAGGCGGCGGACGAACCGTGTCGGAGCAGAATACAGAGCTGCCCTTTGCACCTCCCGGCTCATATGTCTCAGTCGTCGTGCTCGCTACATTCCCTTCAGTTTGACTATCCAGACAGGCCCTTATGCGCGCATATGAGAACATTCAGTACACACAGCATCCCAAGCACCCCTGGGTCGTCTTGCAGTGGTTTGCCTTCCCCGTTCAGCTGCCCTTACTCGCTGAGGCACGCTGGGCACCGGCGCCAAGCTCAGGCCATGCATTCGCCCTCCACGGTTGAAATGCAGCTGAGGAGAGTCTTGCACGACATCAGGAACTCTTTGCAAAGCCTTTCGCAGGTAAATTAGCTCATGGCTGCAGTCTGTATACCCCCCAGTATGTCTGTCTGGAGGATGCATATTTTGGTTGCTAAAAAGAAAGACAGCATGCACAACCGTTGTGCGGTGGTTTGTTTAAATTTCGGATTCCCCGTGGCATTTAGTGTTTCCACATGTAATTGATTTTGCTGGCAAATGGGAAAAGCTTGTCAAAGACTGGTTTTGCGAACAGGGGGCCCTCTAGGTGTTATGGATTGCAATTTCCATCATCCATGACCACTGGCTGTGCTGATAGAAGTTGTAGTCCACCACATCTAGAAGGCACCGCATTGGATGCCGCTGCCCAAACATTCCATTGAGTCCCTGACTACGTTGGGATTTGACTCCCCAGATCTAAGTTTGATGCTCTTATCAACTGGGTCATGTTGCCTTTCAATACAGTCGTGGCAAAGCTGACGTACAAAAACTCAGTTCTGTGAAGCATGAATTAGATTTCTTCCTGCTCGGGATCTTTTATATGCAAATGTTTTAAAGGCCTTGCTTTTATTATTATTATTATTAAATTGAGGCTTGAGAAGATAGTTCTGTTCTGTTCTGTTCGTTCTATACTCCAGTGCATCTGATGAAGTGTAAGCCACTGGTATTCTGTGCCCTAGGGAATGTTGGCATTGCTCAGGTCAGGAGCTTGACAGAGTCCCTTTAAGGACAAGATAAGTAATGGGAGGTAAACTTTGCAGAAGGGCAAGTTTGCTCTCCACTAATTGTCTAATGCATGCCGTGTACAGCTGTGTGGAAATGTTGCATCACAACTCCCATTGTCCCTGATAATTGGCCATGCTCACTAGGGCTTATGGGAGTTGTAACAAAGGGATGTCTGGAGGGTCACAAGTTCTCCTCCTCTCATCTAGAGAGTCCTTGAGCAGGATTGTGAATCTGAGCCGTCTCCCATTCCCCAGATGTCATTATATTGAGGGCCAGCCCGGTTTAGGCAAGTGTGAAATGAGTAGTATGCCTAAGAGCCAAGCCCCGTTCACACACACAAATTAGAATAAAACAACAATATTTGAATGCCATACATATTTCTGCAGAGTCTTCATGAAGCCTGAGAGCTAGGCTAGGCAGCTTAAGTTTTGCAGCCATGTGTTTCATGTGCAAAACTGCTAATTTGAAAGCTCAGACTATTTTAATGCTCTGCAATAAATTTTGATTAAGTAACTTCCTTTTCGCAACCTCCTCCTAGAACGAATCCCAAGATTTTCCCCCACTTGGTACTTAACAGCCCTGTCATGTTCTAAAATGCTTGCCAGATGCAATAAACTCCATTCTGGAGCTGGGGAAAGTTCACCTTTTTTTGAAGAGGCTTTCACAATCGGAAGCCTCATTTTATCATATGAAAGTTTGGAATGAACATAGTTGCTTCTCCAGTCAGGAGTTTCCCAGGGATCTGACACAGCTTTACTCATTCCATTTTGTAAAATGCATTCTTTTCCATGGTGTCCATAGTTAATAAAACTCCTAGACCTACACTGGACTTGCTACATTTCCCCATCCTTTGGGAGTTTGGCCTCTGTGTGTTTCTGTTTTGACATATTTGGGTTTGTGTAGATAATGCTATCTGAAGCCTTGCTACTTGCACACTAACTTCTTAGATACTTTTAAGTCTGAGGAAAAGCTCCTTTGTCTGTCATGCAGCATGTATCATTATCATCTTAGCACAGTTTTGATTTGGTACTTGTATCTTAACCAGAATATTATGAACCAGTTTGCGCAGGGGTTACAGCGTTGGACTTAGACTGCATTGACCTGTGTTTCAAATCCCTGCTTAATTGTGAAGTTCACTAAGTGGCCTTGAAGAAGGCATTTGGTCTCAGTCTATTTCGCAGAGTAGACAGTCTCCTATGGGCTGCTCTTAGTCCTTTGGGGGAAGGACAAAAATCGCAGGTGGGAAGTTTTGCTTTGCACAAATTGGCTTCTTACCCAGAAATTTCACTGCCAAACTGGATTTTTGAATCTAAATCCATTCCTCTTCTTAGTTGGAATTTGCTCTTCACACAGGTGCACAGAGCTAATTCAGATGGCACACATGATACCGCCGTCCGTAGGACTATACCACCTTGCAAGGCTTCTGGGGGCCTTGGTGGTTTGAATACACGCACCCAGCAAAATTGAAGAGGTGCAACAAATCTGACCAGTCTCAGATTTTAGATATTGTTTGGGGCTTCAGTGTTTCCATATCTGAGGGGTGGCAGGGGTATCACTGCCAGAAACACTGGCTGAAACACAGGTGGGCTGTCATTTAGGTGTGAGGGGGCTGGGCCCAGAGTTGAGGATGAGAGCCAAAGTTTGGCCTTGCTTGAAGTGCCAGCCCATTTACTCACAAAGTTGTTATAGAAAAATAAACCGGGCAAATGCAAACGACCTACCGTATTTTTCTTTGTATAAGACGCCCCAATGTATAAGACAACCTCAAAATTAAGAGATCAATATTTTAAACACAAAACAGAACATCTTTGATATTTTCTTAAATATTCAAAGTTACTGGTATATTTAGTACCATATATTTAAACATCAGCGGTCAGGGAAGTTGGCCAAAGTTGCTGAGCTTTTGCGGAAGTCCCCCAGAGTTAGGGTTGCCATATTTCAAGAGGTAAAAATCAAAATTTGTTGGGCTTTTTTGGTGCAATAGCATGAAAAGTTTGTTGTGTTCATGACTGTTGTATTGACATGTTATTGCTTATTGGTCTTATGTACCAAGTTGTTAAAATGTATGTTTGTTTTGACCTCTTCTCTTCCCTTTCTAGAATGCTATGATGAGAAGTCCTGACCTCACTACAGCCCCTTACAGTACTCAGAGATCTTCTATTCTACCTCTCTATGAAGTAAATGGCATTTTTCTCTCTCTTCATCCATGTTATGTGTTTGAGATAAACATGCGCCTGTATATATGTATAAAATGAGAATGTCCTTTCATCTGGGTTCTCCCCTCCCATCTTTAGAAGATAGGGACGAAGAAAGAGATGTTGCAGTTCTCTACTCCATGTATCCAGCCCTCTCCTTCCCTCCCTCTGGGTGGTTTTCAAGGGCAAAGGACAGGGAGGTCATGGGCATGCCGTAGGTGTGGTGCTAAGATGGCTGACTCCACCAATAGGCTGTAAGTTGCTGAGCCCCAGCCCAGAGCCCAGATTGTCTCTATGAAGACAATCCATTGGCAGATTGGGCTCATGGAATTCATGGGAGACAAGGCTATAACTACCAGCCATAGTGGCTCTTTATTCCCTCCAGCGTCAAGAGGGCAGAATGCCCTCTGAATACTAGTTTCTGGGAATTGCAAGTGAGAAGAGAGCTCATGTCCTGTTTGTGGACTTCTCTTGTGTTTTATGGCATATTTTAATTTTTGAGGTTGTTTTAGTGCCCCGGCAAAATGGTTTTTGTCTCTTTTAGTTATGCATTGGTTTTTATAGTTGGGGAACTGTAGCTGTAAACTGCATAGGAGGCATTTTGAGATAAGCAGTATACAAGTGAATCATCACTATCGTCGCCATCTGCTTGGCTACTGTGAAGACAGGGTGCTGTCCTGGAGGGGCCTTTAGTCTGATTTGGCAGAGCTCTTGTTATGTATTTACACAGAGTTCTGAACATAAATACTTCTCTGTATCTGTCTTCTAGAATACATTCCAAGATCTTCAAGCCGTGAGAAGGAACCTAAACCTGTTTAGAACGCAAATGATGGATTTGGAATTGTCCATGTTGCGCCAGCAAACCACTGTTTATCAGCACATGACAGAGGAAGAGAGGTGAGTGGGGTAGGGAGGTGCTCTCACCTAAGCAGCTTGTTTACTATATCTGTGCTCACATGCAGGTTCCTTTTATATTTCTACTAAAACCTTTCACATCTGTTCTCTTTCTTTCTCAAAAGCACTGTTTTTCTTCTAGGTGTGCAGCCTTCAAATAATCCTAAAGCACGCTCCTTCTCCTTCCTCTTCTGCGCATTTAGAACTGGCCTTTTGCATTCTGACTCTGCCACTTTGCTTCTGATCATCACTCACAGTTAGATTGCTGCAACTTTCTCCATGGCGGTCTTTCTGTTCTGCCACCTCTTCTCCACTCTCTTCAGAGTGCTTCTGTCAAGACCAACCTTTCGTCCCTTTTGCTCTGATCTCTGCCCTCTTGGTAAGATCCTTTTTGACGTTTGGGTTTCGTTTCATTTGGGCATTAACTTCAAGGGTCCTATTCCTTAGGACATTTAGATGTTTTGAAAGGGATGGCTTTTTATTTTATTTATTCCTCAAGGAGTTCAAGGTGGCATGCTTCTCAACCCTTCAATGTTTTTCCTCTCAGCAACCCTGTGAAGCAGTAGGTTAAGACTGCAAGACTGTGGTTGGCCCAAGATCACCCAGTGAACTTAATAACTGAGTGGGGATTTAGACCTTGGTTTCTCAGGTCCTAGTTCAACACTATGGGATGCGGGTGGTGCTGTGGTCTAAACCTCTGAGCCTCTTGGGCTTGGTGATTGGAAGCTCAGTGATTTGAATCCCTGTGACAGGGTGAGCTCCCGTTGCTCTTTCCCAGCTTTTGCCAACCTAGCAGTTCGAAAGCACGCCAGTGCAAGTAGATAAATAGGTACCGCTGTGGCGGGAAGGTAAATGGTGTTTCCATGCACTCTGGATTCCGTCACGGTGTTCCGTTGCGCCAGAAGCAGTTTAGTCATGTTGGTCACATGACCCAGAAAGCTGTGTGCAGACAAATGCTGGATCCCTTGGCCTGAAAGTGAGACGAGTGCTACACCCCATAGCCACCTTTGACTGGACTTACCCGTCCGGGGGTCCTTTCCCTTTTATTTTATTTTTACCTTAGTCCAGCACTCAAACCACTTCACCACACTGGGGTGGTCTCAGGATTTCCCTCCGGATCATACCAGTCACTCTTATAGCCACCTTGTGGTGAGGTTCCGTAGAACTATTTGTTTCTGAAGATACTCATTTTATTACACACACACACACACACACACACACACACACACACCTGCCACCCTCCTAAAGAGATAAATGTTTCTTCTCCCCACCCCATCTTAGTCTTTCAATATGCTTGTGGTAAAGGTTTGCTTGAGAAATAGTGACTGAGCTCAAGGTCAGTCATGAGTGAGTGAAGATTTGAGCGTGTGTCTTCCCAGGCCTAGCCTAAGGCTCTGCTCATGAGTTTCTTGTCTGATGTCTTCTACATGCATGGTAGCCCTTCAAGCCAGCCTAGTTCCACTGAAATCCCGTTTCGTTTTCACTGTAGATTCTGTAAGGAAAGAAAAGGGTTGCTTCACTCTCCCATCCATGTATTACGGCATCTGCATGACCAGCTCTCTCCCTTGCTTATATAATACGCTGCTCCCAATAAATACCTGGACCACATCCAAACCTATATATAGCATTTAATTTACAGATTTGCTAAATACATACTAGTTAAGCTCTGTAAGTCTTGTTCCCCGCCCTAAGGGATTAGTTTTTTTTTTACTAATTTCATCTCCAGTGGATTTTCCTCATTAGTTTGCAAAACCAAAAGTAAAGCCCCATGCACTCCTGTGGAATGCACACATTCCTTCTTTCCTCTGTTCCCTTTTCTTGGTTGCTATATATTTTCATGTGAAAGTGCATATATCTGCATAACACTGGACTGATATGTTATCATTCCCTCCACTGCTTTGGATGATATGCCTATTTGTGCTCTGCCAACAGGATTGTATATTCCCCTTTCCATTTTGCTTGCTTCTGATTTAGATACGAAGCTGATCAACTCCAGAGCCTGAGGAAATCTGTCCGCATGGAGCTTCAGGAATTAGAAATGCAGTTAGAGGAGCGCCTTCTTACTCTCGAAGAGCAGCTTAGGAATATTCACGTGTCTTCACCTTACAGGCAACAAACACCCATGGTATGTCTTTTGTCACAGTCCGTCTGTGCAGATATATCTGTGCAATGGATGTAGAAGCACCAGGTAGATATGGGGCGAGTTATTCCCCTAATACCCAGAACTTTGTTATGCCACCAAGCATTAGAACAGACACATTAAGCATTTTTGTTTTGGGGCAGAGTATTTTTTTTCCATGTGGATCCATGTTCCAGAGGCTAATGGAATTCAATATTAGACATGCTAAGCAAATTTTCAAGTCAGTGGCAAGAGGGAAGCCCAGATTGAAGGCCTGTAGCCCACAGCCTCAGAATGGTGAGGACATGCACATTCAGCAGAATGGTTGAGTTTGTCCTGTGAGTATTTGTACTCCTTTATTGTTAAAAAGCTAAGAGACAGGCAACTGGGCTTGGATTTGTAGGCCAAGAAGAAGTTGGGGGTTGCGTTGCTCTGTCAATACCAACAGGCATAAAACATGGCCTGTGTTCTCCCCTAGGCTCACAACTTGCTCTGGAAGCATTTCCCCATGTATTTTAGGGTGGTGTAGCTCAGATGTCACTAATGATCCAGTTCAACAATCCACTAATGATCCAGATCAACCTTCCAGCCCCTTGATCTCTCTGGCATACTTCATATGAACAAACCTGAAATAGAAAATGATAGAGGCTTATATTGACAGTGGCCCAATCCTGGCTTAATAAACTAGGGTATTTCTGAGCTGTTACATCTCCTTCACTCCTCCCTTCATGTCAGCAAGGAAACAAACCAGGAAGCTACAGCTGACTGCAGCTTTCCTGTTACATGTGAATGGAGAACTGGGGTTCATGGCCACCCCAAACGACAAACAATGGTTTCTTGTGTCCACTCATGTGAAGGGGAAACAAAGGGGCTGCATGTGTGTCAAGAATTTAATCATATGAACGGAGCTATTACATTTGAATGAGGGGTCAGAAGAAACTAAACTAAAGAGCATGTAGCATATCCAAACTCTGTCCTTTCCCCCCATCAGAGGGGGGAAGTTCTAGACAGAATAGCTCCGCTGACTACAGGTTACCCGATAACCAAATGGTGACCTCTGCAGATTCAGGTTGCTTTTCTTTGGAGATTCCAAAGGTTTAGAAGACCCAGGGATGGGTCTGAGGAGGAAAAGGAAACATGGTGTGTGTTTTTTTGAGGGGGGGACTAAGACCCAACTAAGTTGTGCCAAATAGATCCACTGAAATTGATGAACTTAAGCTACTTCAGTCCACTGATTTCATTTGGTCTTCTCTGAGTCCTGACTAACAGTGTCCATATCCTCTAAACTCTTACAGCTCTTTAAATATTTTTCTTCCTTACTATGTCCTGGAATCATAAATGCAGAGGTAGCATAAAAGGCTCTCTGGGTCCTTGTTTTCTCAGAAAGTTGGCGGTGTGGCCCAGGCCACGAAGCAATTTTGAGAGCTTCCAAAAACATCAACAACCCCTAATTTCTGTGGGTTTTTTTTCTTCCAGGGCATGTATGGGAGCAGAAGCACTGATAACTTGTCGTGCCCTTCTTCACTGAATGTGATGGAGCCGGTAAGTAACCAAGACAAAGGCTGGAAGTGAAGGCAGTGGTATTTTCCAGTCACATTGAGATGTTTCATTGGCAGTGATACATGAATGGAATGGATTGGATTGGAATGGAATAAATGTATGTACAGAACATGTGAGATACTGGGGATGCTGTCAAATTCATGCTAGGCCTTTGGCTATTCTGAGACGCAGTGTGTTCCAGTAGGGTTGAAGGCATGGTTTGTAGCCCAAGGATGAGGCGTAATTTTTGTGCTTCTGTTCCAGCATACATTTGGGGTTTTGCCTGTCTCACAAGACAGTGAGTAAAGCAGTTGTCTTGTCTTCCTCCCCCACCTCCCGTAATTCCGTAGGTCTCTGAACTCATTCGAGAGCAGTCATTTCTGAAGTCTGAGCTGAGGTTGGGTCTGGGAGAACTTGGAATGGAGATTCCGCCGGCCGACGGCTCAGAATGTGCTTTTGATCACGGACATTCTGACTCCTCTTCAGTGTGTTCCAGCCAAGCCAGCAGAAAAGACAGTGCACACTCATCTGAGATGATGGGGAAGGCCAAGCCCCAAAGCAAAAAAATCTACCGAGCGTGTGTGGCCTTGATGCCCTCTCCACCGGCAAGAGCAGGAACAGGGCAGCCTCCTGAAAGCTCTGAGGGACACACAACGTCCAGATCGGAGGTGGAGCAGAAACTTGAAAAGATCCCTCTTGTGCCTGCGGTTGAAGAAATTCACAGAAGTGTGGAGAATGATGAACTGCAGCAAGTCATACGAGAGGTGAGCAGCAGGCTGGCTAGCATTTGGAGCATTTTATCTCAATGTTTTCTTCTTAATGTGGCTAAGAAGATTCGACTGACCTCACCGAACTCCAATCCCCAGGATAGTTTAATGATCAATCCCTCTTCCCAGGAAATGGGGAAATGTAACTCTGTGAGGGTAATAGGGATCTCCTAACAACTCTTGGCAACCTTAACAAACTATAGTTTCCAAGATTCTTTGAGGGAAGCCATCAGGTTGCTGTTTGCAGCAGTTGGAAAGCTTTCTTTCTTCTTTTGGCCCAGCCTTAGTTCAGATCTTTCCCAACAGTATCAAGAGATGTCAGGGGTTGAACTGAGATGTCCTGCATACAGAGGATGTGATCTTTCCCCGAGAGTCTCATACTCCGTGCCGGGCTTTGGAGAAAGTCTGGTGCTGTTATGGTCTAAGGACTAATGCCATGAAAGTTATTCAATTCTTCTCATGTTTCCTCAGAAGTAAGTCCCATTGTGTCGCTAGTCCCTTAAACACAGAAGTTTGCCAAATCACACATTGTGTGTATGTTACAGAGTGGGTTTGTTTAATGCTGGCACCCACTTTGTTTAATATATCTCTTTGCATCTCATAAATACCGAAAGTCTCTGCCTTGTATTGTTTGCTTCCCAAAGCAGAATGAATCCATTGCAGGGAAATTCATTAATATGCATTCTTGATATTTCTTCACAAATGTTAAACTCATGGCATTCTGAACAATTCCTCTCCCTGTGTATACATGAATGATCTTGGCTTGTAGGAGAAAACAGCATAAACAGTATTCAGTGTTCCAGAGCATGCCAGAATAGACTGTAATGTGTGTGAGCTTTTGACCTGTATCTTTTTACTGGAATGAAAAGGAACCCGCTATCCTTTTCTCCATACTCCCACAGAAGAAAACTGCAAAAATGCCAAGATACTTAACTTTGTTCTCTCTTGCTTCGAAGAAAATGCAGATTGCTTTCTTATTTATGGAATATAAAAAATGCAAAATATAAAATAAAAGAAGAATGGAGCTAGTGTTCTCTACTTAACAGAAATTGGGTTATTGGGGAATAGTATCTTGAATCAAATTGTTTCAGGAATACTTGATTTGAACAGTCTGCTTCTCGATACTCTCCATTTTACCTTTTCAAGACACCGGTGCACTTTTGCAAAGTCACACTGGTGCCTTTCAAGGCACTAGTTTCAAGGCACCTTTGGGTGATAGCCAACATTAATCATTCTCAGCATAGATCCATTGAAATCATTGGACATCACCCTCTATTTTGAAGAAGCTTCTCTAGAAAGAGTGGCAGGTCTTACACTTAGCTGTAAAACATTTTTTAAAATCAGACTGATTGCAGGTCCATTGGTATTCTTTCTTGTGTGCCACTTTCTAGATGCAAAGTTGGATTCTTTGCACACATGCCTTACTGCAGCGAGGAAACTTGGACGCAGAGACAGCATCCTGCCCAAGGTCACACAGGAAGCCTGGCTGTAGCAAAGCCAGGAATAGAACACAAGTTGCCTGTTCCTTTCCACACAGATGGATCCTTTCTCTTGCTTGCTCATCCATTAGCTCTGCTAATTTGGGAAGCCTTTGTCACTTCATTTTGGAATGCACCCAATTTATTTATAGCCTTTGTATTCTTGGGTGAATAGCATTCGTCCCTTAAGTGGCAATCCCGCCAGCACTGGAACGCAGAACCCTTGGTTCTCAGCACAGCGCTGCTGCTTGTGGTCAACCACCAGGACTGCAGTTTGGAGCAATTTCCTGGGCATTAAATAACCACTAGACTGGCTCATTCTCCAACCACACCCCTCCTGCCCCTTGCTGCCCATTGGATTCTCATAGACAGGAAGAATGATAAAAGGCTTTCTGTTAGGGCTGAGTTTTTGGACAACAATGGTCATCCTGGCTTAGGTATCTGCCAATTTATTCCTCATCTTTGGCTCCTAGGTTATTCTGCACCATGAACTCATGGGTCTGTTTCTCAGTATTGACCCCCCTCATTCAGTGTTGACCTCCAACAATATTCTTGTAGGATTAGAAGCACAGTACAGAACTTAGGACACATCCACTCCATACATTTAATAAAGCACATGGCTTCCCCACTAATAAACCTGGAAACTGTAGTTTACCCCCTCACAGAACTACAGTTCCCAGCACCCTTAAACTACAGTTCCCAGGATAAGTTGGGGGAAAGCCATATGCTTCAAATGGATGGTGTTGCAGATATAACCCTGGAAAACTGCCTACTGCCACATTCCCCCAATTCCACAAGGAAAGATTGAATGGGATTGGCCCAACCTATGCAGTTGTGCTTAGCCTTCAGTGAGCTACAAATATAGGGGAAGGATGGTAAATGTAGACAAACCTGAAATGTCTTCTTTTCAGATCAAAGAATCTATCGTCGGTGAAATCAGACGGGAAATTGTAAGTGGACTGTTAGCAGCTGTCTCTTCCCCTAGCAGATCTGCTAACGCTAAGCAAGAAACGCAACCGTGAATCGGTACTACAGGTAAATATTTCAGTGTTGCTGCATGCCAGTAAGTGCTAGCAGGAGGGTGGGGAAAGACCATGCAGATTACATCAGAAAAGAATGTAGGGGCTGAATATTACAGAATTGCACTACTGCCTCCACTTTCTCAAAGTTGGCTCTAGCAACAATGCTTGGCCACCAGTGGGTGGATTCCAAACCATTAGCCTGGGGTGTTGAAATGCATGTGTTATATATAATATATATACTTTTTTAAAAATTTTCTGTTTTACAATTTCAAATACTCATTTTACATCCTTAAAATATCCTTCTTCTCTTTCCATAGTTCATTTTACGTATCATAAATCTCTGCATATTTTACAAAAACTATACCATTCGGTATTCCATTATTGCACCCACCAAAACTTATTTACACTGTTGAATTTATCTTAATGCTGCCAGCGTTTTCAGCTATACACAATTATTTCCCATATATTCAATAGATGTTTTCCAATCTTCTTTAAACGTATGTTCTTCTTGTTCTCTTATTCTATGGGTTGAGTCTGCAAGTTGTGAGTCCCGGGTGTTGAGATGCATGTCGCTGCTTTCACCGAATAAATATATTTGTTTTTGATTTGAAATGACAATCATGCAATAACTCTCTCCCCCCCCCCCCCACGACAGGTTGGCATGTGGTCCAGGGACACTGTGGAATTCTCCTTTTGGAAGGCTGGATGGGCGGGTCTGCCTGCACTCAGGAGGACAGAAGTGAAGGCTACTGTATACAGTTTGTAGTTTTGTGCTGCTTAATGTTCCACTTCAGCTCTCTCTGCTCCGACTGGGACACTCTACATCTTACTACTGCCCATGAACCACCTTCCAAGCCTTAATATTTATTTGTACATTCCTACGGTTCATTTGTGCATAGTGTCTTGCTATTATTATTATTATAATTATTATAATTATTTCTGTGTAGAGGTGTTCCTCGTAAAACTTGAAGACTTCCTTGATCTACCCCAGTTATAAATAGCCTAGGATTGTCATTGTTATTTTATATATCTATGTAAAAACCCACTGACCTCTGTGAGGTATTTAACTGTGCAATAACTGATTCACTCTGAGAGCTTGAAACAACTATCCTGTTTTCACTGCTGTTACCAAGTGCCACTTCAAAAGAGGAGAGTAACCTGTTGTTGTGTTGTTGTTGTTTTAAAATGCTGTAACTCTTGGGAGAAGCTGTTGTTTGCAAAGAGTTTAGAGAGCTAAATGAACTTATGTAAAACTACTAAGAACACTTACACCGAGAGCCTTATCTCTGAGCAGTAGACACCTTTTAAAAATAAATAAAATTTTCTGCTTCTTTAATCTTTCTCCTTGGGGGTGTGCTTTGTATTGTTTTAAAAATCCTTAATATATATTGATGACTTCTCAACGGTATCAGGAGGCAGCCTTTTTCTCCTTTTCATAAAACAGGTCTATAAAACACTAGGGGGTTTTTCTAAGTGGATAGTGCTGTTGTTGTGGGGGAATCGGAACAAATTGTTCCCCTTTTTCTGAAGTTTTACTATGGCCCAGGGAAATGTATCAGAACAGAAATGTATCAGAACAGATGAAATTGTATGTTGGCAGGGTTTTCAGTTTCTTTTACATGTTTTTTTGTCAATGGGGTGCTAGACAGTCAAGGTTTAATAATGTCTGGATTATTGCCACTGGGATTCCTTATGTTTCTGTGGTTTTGTTTTTTGTTTTTAAAATATGTTTTCAACTAATAAAATCAAGATTGTGTTGAATACATAATCAAAACTAGTAAAACTATAACTATCTTTTATGAGAAAAGTCTGTCAAAGTGCTTTTGGAATGGACATAAGGGCTTTCATATTAAAAGGGGCTGTTATGCCAATAAAATATTTATTTTGCCTACAAGTGTTTCAAACTCGTTATTTTCATTGGTTTTCAGACACTGGAGTCTTCTGGCTGGGCTGGGAGAGTTATGTGAATAGATCCTTACATAGGCATTTGAGAGAAGAATTCAGCTTGCATATTAATCCTGGTTTATACATGCAGCAAAATGAGATATTAGAACCCTGAGCTGGTATAATGGACTGAACCACTTCAGGTGATAGGTGTGTGTGTGTGTATGTGTCATGTATGAATGTTCCTATACATTACAAGAGACACACAAGCCGTGTCCAGTCATTGTACCATTCAGGTTGTGCAACTGAAGTTGATCAGGAGCTCTTGCACAACAAATCTGTTACCCACTCCTGACCCCTTTAAAAAAAAGTGACTTTTTGATATAACGCTGCCCATCTAACCTGGTTGCCTCAGCCACACCGGATGGCTCCCAACAAAAAATGGGGGGGGGGGACCCCAGACAATATCACACACTAAAAACTTCCCTGAACAGGGCTGCCTTCACATGTCTTTTAAAAATCACATAGCTGTTTGACATCTGCTGGGAGGGTGTTCCACAGGGTAGACGCCACTACCAAAAAGGCCCTTTGCCTGGTTTCCTGTAAGCGCACCTCTCACAATGAGGGAACCACCAGAAGGCCTTCAGAGCTGGATCTTAGGGTATGGGCTGAACGATGGGGGTGGTGACACTCCTTCAGACCAGAGATTATGGGAGTTTTAGTTCAGTAATCATCTGTGGGGCCAAATGTTCCCCATACCTGACCTAAAGAAAAGGCTGGATTCAAGGAATTTACTGCTGAAGGGAGCTATTGGGCTAATGTCTTGCTTAAGAGCTTCCTGTAGGTATCTAGTTAGCTAGTGTGAGAACACTTCTGGGTTGGATGGACCTTTGATCTGATCCAGCAAAGCTATTCTTCTGTTCTTATTTACCTATAGATTAATGTTTGGTGTCAATGGAACAGACTCTTCTTGGTTTTTTGCTACCATTTCAAAAGCTACATAAAAGGTAAAGGTAAAGGACCCCTGGACGGTTATGTCCAGTCAAAGGCAACTATGGGGTTGAAATGTTCATCTCGCTTTTCAGGCTGAAGGAGCCAGTGTTTGTCCACAGACAGCTTTCCGGGTCATGTGGCCAGCACGACTAAACTGCTTCTGGCACAACAGAACACCGTCATGGAAGCCAGAGCACACAGAAACACCATTTACCTTCCCGCCGCAGTGGTACCTATTTATCTACTTGCACTGGTGTGCTTTTCAACTGCTAGCTAGGACAGAGCAATGGGAGCTCACCCCATCATGGGGATTTGAACCACCGACCTTCTGATTGGCAAGCCCAAGAGGCTCAGTGGTTTAGACCACAGTGATACCCATGTCCATAGCAGCTCATTGTCACCACAGTTATGACTCCATGCTCCTGGCTATTTAACATAGCCTTGAGTGTACCGGTAATTTGGTTGATGCATAGATCCAGAAGTTGTCAATGTATATAGGAAATAGCATGATCCCCCCCCCCCCATATAGTATAGGGTGGTGGTTGTTGTTTTTTGCAGCTTCCTGCCACATGCAGCAACCATCACTGAAGCAAACCTACTCAAACTGGCCTTAAAAATGACTTTCATTGCACTGAGGAGGGCGACACCTACACAAACAATCCTTCAGGCTGACATTATGATGGCAATGAATGTAAGCAATTTATTGGGCTCGCTGGCCGGGATCCCAAGCACCACGCGACTAATTGTACATGCCTACATGGGTTTCAAACAGCGGCCTTCTGTGCAATGTGTCTCTTTAATTCTTCACAGTCTCCAAAAGAGCTTTTATGTTCTCCAGTAGTGAATAAAACAGTGTCACTTGTTCTAGATACCAAGTTTTGCTCATCTACACCGCCGCCAGAGACCCTAGGGTAGGGTTGCCATATGTCCAGAATTTCCTGGACATAGCCAGAATACAGCAGTCGGAAGCAGTGTCCAGGCAGAAAATGCTGAAACACCCAGGGAAATCCAGACATATGGCAACCCATTTCGGTTGCCATAAAAATAGCTCAAAAATTTCTGACTCCCATCAGCCTGCATTGCCAACGTTCAGAGATGATGGGAGTTACAAGCCAACTTTTAGAAGGCAACAGGTTCATCACTCCTGAGCTACATGTTTTGCCGTTTTCTAAACCATGTTCATAGACATGGACACTACTAAGAACTATTATTGAAACACAGGTGAAACACAAGTAGTAGGTGGCCTCCGGAAATTTTAGTATCTTTACTGAAGTTGCCAAGTGACGTCTGTTTTAAGCCACTCTATCTTTGTCAATAATCATTTTCTTAACAACTTTTGTATTTCACATGTACACTATTTAAGCTTGGAGTGGAGTATGGGTTTTCGTTTTCACTTTTGTTTTTCCACTTGACACTTTTAAGTGTCTTTAATATTTTATGATCAATTACTAATACTTCATCCAATTTTAATCTGTATGATTCTGTACTTTTCTACTTCCCACACTAAAAGAGTAGTGGTACTCGTGTAATGTTTAGGAGGTAGGGTTAATGTTTGCCTTATTCTTTTTTTTAGTATTGAAATAGTTGAATAAAAATGCTGTCGCACTGCTGAGCTCAGAATTAAGCACATTTAAATCTAGGGTCCGAATATTTTGAAACAATTGCTCTTTTCCCCAATCTAAAAAGAGATTCTGTCCTTTCTATTCATTTTTAAAAAACATGCAATCAAAGTGGAGGAAATGCTAACTTTTTCTTGTTGTATTTGTAAATTTGTAAATTTGTAAATCCTTTCTAAATATTCCTGCAAAATTAATATAGTTTTAAAGTCAATTTCTATCCTCATTATTTTTTTAAAAAATTGTTATTTTTTACACCATGGCTGACAAAAAGATGACCCAGACTATTATTCTTTTTAATGCTGCTAAATCTTCATATCACAAACGCAGGTTCCTGGAAACTCAACTGATTTTCAATCATTGCAAAAGCCCTAAATACTTGATTTCCTGATTAAATACACTAGAGCAGAATTCTGATCTAAGCTCAATGAAATCAATTGAGCTTCCTTCCATGTAATTGTGTTTATGAACTGGGTGTTAGCTAGCCAAACATTTATCTCTTCTATTGAACCGTATGTAGCTTTAAGAAGACAGCAGTGTTTGCAATTTATAATAAGGTTATGCATCTTTAATCTATCTCATTTCCTATAAGCAGGCTTTGCAATTTCTACGAAGAGCAGAAAGAAATGCCTATCTGTAAATCAAATGTTTACATATTGCCTCTCTCATGGGTAAAGTATCAAGAGAAACCAATTTTTAATTTAAACGTTCAAGTTACGTGTGCAGTACAGATTGTGAAGGCCATTAGAGCTTCTCAGGGTCTTCAGTCTTGAAAGATTGCCTTTTAACTCCGAGGCCAAGCTGGGGCTTCTCGCTGGGAAAGGAAAGGCTCTTTTCAGTTCTTTATTGTGCCTCAACTTCAGGGACAGTCAGCATCGTGCCCTCCTGATGCTGTAGTCCACAAGTATTCCAAAAGAAGACCCATCAACCTTGTCCTTTGGCCCTGCTGGCTGGGGTTGATGGGATTTGGAAGTCCATCAACATCTGAAGGGCACCACAGCTACCCCTGCTTCATTTGAGGAACCTCAATGCTGAAAGCGGTTGCTAGGGCTGGATTTTGGATGCCATTTGGACCAGAAAGATGAAGATGAAAGCGTGGGTAAAAAGGGGGCTGCAGAATCAGAGGGGATGGTGGCTTTATAACTGGGTGCAGGGTGGAAAAGGTGTGATGAGGAAGCTGGTCTTGTGTGCAAGACCAGATTGCACCTAAGGAGAATTGCCATGATTTGCTTGGTTTGATGGAACGATGGATATTAATTTTTTGCACTTTTATATTAAGGAATATATCTGTCTGTCTCTAGATATAGCTAGATATCTAAACATAGATAAACAGGCAGGCAGACACACCTGGCCATGCTTCTTTTCCTTTCTCTATCCTCCCTGCCCTCTGAAATCCACCCCTGGTTCTGGCACACATCCTACTCCTTAAAGTGAAATCTATTGATGGATGCCTGATTTATCAAACTCAGGTGAAATATAATGACACAAGTCAAGCAAATTAAGAGCTGCAAAAAGGAAGATCAAGGTACAACTACTAAACAAGGACAGACTTAAAAAAACCCACAAACCAGTCTGGCTTTTGTTGTTGTACTAAATTTAAATCACAAGACTTCACGTGGTTTCTAATAGACTTGCAACATTTCCACCTGAGACACCGCCATCTCACCAGTTCTGCTGCCACTGGAATGACCCTACTTGCCAACAATGAGTGGGCAACCAGCTTTGCCTCGTGGCTGTGGATGTCCAGGGCAGCGTGCATGGCCCTGGCAACGAAATTTGTGTGTGCCCAGAGCCTTCATGCAGAATTTTGTGGGTACTCAGGCCCCCAAGGAGTTGGCAGCTATGGTGAGCGATGCTAAGTGCAGGAATGTCCCACCAAAACTCTTCTTTCCTCTCCTCGAAATTCCTCCAATATTTTGTGCTTAAACATAAGAAGTGCCTTGCAAGACCAATGGCCTCTCTAGGCCAGCAACATGTTTGCTGTAGTTGCCAACCACATGCCTCTTGGAAACCAGCAAGCAGACACAAGGGCAATAGCCTGCTCCCATTGTCACTCCCAGCCCCCAAATGACCAGTATTCAGAAACATGCCTCATTGAATTCTGGAGGTAGTGATGCCTTTAATAGCTTTGCCCTCCATGAATTTTCTAATCCCCTTTTAATTCCTTCTAAATTACATACAACAAGCCTTTGGATTTGGATTGGAAGCAGCCTCTCTCTTTTTTGCCTCTCCAGAAAAGCAACTTCTCAGGCTGTAAAAGCATCCCACAAACGATTTGTGATTAACTTTGTAAACACAGAGCTCACTGGAGGAGAGCAGATGTAGGCGTCAATCAGGTAGGAATCAGCCAACATTAAATATAGATAGGGAATAAAATTGTTTTGCATTTTAATGAGAAC